TCCCCAACCCCTTTGTAAATTTTTGAGACAGGGTCTCATTAAGTCACTAAGTTGCCCAGACTGGGCTCAAACCTGTGATCTTCCTGCCTCATCCACCCAGAATTCTGGCATTACAGGCATGTGCTATCATGGCCAACTCATTTTGTACCTTTTGATGTACCATATTCATTCATCTGTTGATAGACACAGTTACTTCTTTATTTCAGCTGTTGTGAATAATTCTCCTATGAACTTGGGTGTACAAATATCTGTTTGAATTACTTCTTTCATTTCTTATTTAGCAGTACTGGGGATTGGACCCAGGATCTTTATACTGAGATAAATTTCCAGATCTTTTGATATTTTGTTTTGAAACAGAGTCTTGCTGAGTTGCCCAGGCTGGCCTTGAGCTTGTGATTCTCCTGCATCAGCCTCCTGAGAAGCTGGTGCTTTCATTTCTTCCGGGCATTTACCCAGAGGGGAATTGCTGGATCATCTGGTGGCTTAGGCAGTGCTCTGCAGACTCAACCACTGTTTTGCACGGAAGCTGTATCATTTTATATTTCTACCAACAGGATTCACAGCTTCCATTTTCTTTACGTTCTTGCCAACACTGATTGTTTGCTGTTTTTTGCTTGCTTTGTTGACAGTGGCTGTCTTAATAGGGGTGAGGTGGTGTCTCACTATAGTTTTGATTCACATTTCCCTCATGATTAGTGATATTGGACATCTTTGCTTATTGGCCATTTGTACATCTTGTAACAAATGACTACTTGAATTTTTGCCTATTTTGGGATAGATTGTTTATGCTAGATATGAATCTCTTATCAGATATGAGATTTAGAAAGTTTCTCTCATTCTGTGGATTGCCTTTTAAACTCCATTGATACTATCTTTTGATGCACAAAGTTTTAAAATTTTGATGAAGTGTGTCAGTATTTTCTTTCACTGCCAGTGCCATTGGTATCAAGTCTTAGAAATTATTGTCAGATTCCTTACTGTGAAGCTTTTGCCCTGTTTTCTCCTAAGAGGTTTATATTTTGGTCTTAGATGTAGATCTTCGATCCATTTTGAAGTTTTTTGTTTGTTTGTTTTATTTTTTGTATATTTGAGACAGAATCTCACTAAGCAGTTTAGGCTGGCCTTGAACTCACTTTGTGGCCCAGGCTGGTCTCGAACTTGAAGTAATCCTCATGCTTCAGCCTTCTGAGTGCTGGGATTAAATACAGGTGTGCGCCACCACACCTGGACGAGTTCATTTTTAAATATAGCTTTAGGTAAGCATCCAATTTCACTCTAAATGTGGATATAGTTTTCCCAGCACCATTTTCTGCAGGCTGTCTTCTCCTCTCACTGACTAGCCAGGCACCCTTGTTAAAAGTCAGTTGACCCTATATGCAAGAAGTTACTTCTGGCCTCTTGTTAAACTGTTAGTCATACAGTATGTTTGTCTTTATACCACTGACACGGTGCTTTGATTATTTAGCTTTGTAGCAAGTTTTAAAATCAGAAAGTAGGTCTTACGGGTTTATTTTTCAAGGTTGTTTCAGTTACTCAGGTTTTCTTGAGATTCCATATGAATTTTAGGCGCATTTTTATATTTCTGTAAAAAAAATCACTGAAAATAGAGACTCCCTTTAACACATAGATTGCTTTGGGGGGTACTATTGATACCTTAGCAGTAATAAATCATCCAGTCCATAACTGTGGAATATGTTTCATTTATTTATGTCAAGTATTCTTTTTGATACTACAAGTGGATTCTTTTGGCAATTTCCTTTTTGCATTGTTCATTGTTGGTGTGTAGTAATGGATTTAATTTTCATGTGTTGCCTTTGTATCATGCTCCTGTGCTGAATTCACTTATTATTTCTAACAAGATTTTTGCAGAATCTTTGGGGTTTTCTACATATATGATTATATCACTTAGGAACACAGGTAATTTTACTCCTCTTTTTCCATTTTGGGTGCGTCATTAGGTTTCTAGTTAGACTTCCAGTGCTGTGTGAATAAAAGTATTAAAAGGAGGCTTTTTCTTTGTGATCTTAGAGGAAAAGCTTTTAGTCCTTCAAGTATGTTTTCTTTTTGGCGTTTTCATTTTTATCGGTACCAGGGATTGAACTCACAACCGCACACTTGCAAGGCAGGCGCTTATGCTGCTGAGCTAAATCCCCAGCCCCAAGTATGTTTTCATAGATAGAGTTTATTGTTTTGAGGCAATTCTCTTCTATACTTGGTCTATTGAGTATTTTTCATCATGAGACCTTGAATTTTGTCTCCAGCTGCCTTTTCTGCATCAACTGAGATGGTCATGTGGGTTTTCTCCTCCGCTATGTTAAGGAGTGTGTTATATTCATTGATTTCCAATAGTAACTCCCATTTGGTTGTGGTGTGTATAACTTTTTAATATGTTGCTGAATTCAGTTTACAGTATTTGTTGAGAATTTTTGCATCAGTGTTCTTAAGGTTATGTTGACCTGTAGTTTTCTGGCAATGTCTTTGCCTAGCCTTGATAACAGGTAATTATGGCCTCATAAAATACATTAGGAAGCAGTGCCTTCTCTTCATTGTTTGCAAAGTTTTGAGGATTGGCATTAATTCTTTAAATGTTTAAGAGACTTCACCATGAAGCCATTGTATCTATTTGCCTTTCTTTGTTTGGAGGATTGTTGATTACTAATTCAGTCTCTTCACTAGTTTTACATCTACTCAAATCCTATGTTCTTTGTGACTTAATTTTGATGGGTTTTATGTTTCTAGGAATTTGCCCATTTCATTCAGGTTATCCAGTTCATTGTTTGTGGTACTCTCTTGTAATCCTCTTTCTTTGTGTAGAGTTGGCAGTAATGTCTCCACTTTCAGTTGTGATTTTCTTGGGGGCAGGGTCTTTTCAAGACAGGGTTTCACTATCAGTTCATGCTAACCTTGAACTCACTGTGTAAACAGAGCTGGCCTCAAACAGCTCTCCTCCCTCCTATGTTAGGGATTCAAGTGCTGGGATTCCAGGTGTGGGTCACCACGCCTGGCTTAGTTGGGATTTTAATAATTTAAGTCTCTGCCATTTATTTTCTTAGTCATCTAGCTAAAGCTTTGCATTTTGATTTTTTCCCCCTAAGAACCAGTCTTTTGGTTTCATTGCTTTTTCTGTTGTTCATCTGTTCTCTTTCACTGATCTCTGCTTTTATTGTTTTCTTTCTTCTACTAGTTTTGGGTTTAGTTTGCTCTTTTTCTAGATCTTTAAGTTGTAAGATTAGTTTGGTAGCTTGAGATCTTTTTGTTCTTTAGAGTAAATGTTTATATAGCTATAAACACTCCCAACAAGCTTTTGCTACTGCCTACTTTAGGTCATTGTGTATGATCAGATCAAAGATCCCTGATATTTGTAAGATGAGATCTTTTTGCACATCCTGGCTCCCACAGGTTGTGTTCAGGTTGTTGCAGGGGCACATGTGTAGGCTGCCACGGGGTAATCACTTGCCCAAGAGCCAAAATGGTCTGCAGTTTACTGCCTGGTCTTCCTTCTGCAAGTCGCAGCCTCTTCAGACCCCAGAGTTCCCCAAATGATTACATTAGACAGTCTGCCAGAGCAGATGAGGAGTTCCCAGTGCTTCTCATTGTGCCTGTCCCCCTAGATCTGTCAATTTAGACTTTCCTGGGGCTCTAGGACCATCCTCTGTCCAGAAATTCTGGCTTTGGTATCCACAGTGCCTCTCAATATGAGGATGCCCACAGGTCCACAGCCCAAGACGACAGGCGTTGCTGGCAGCTGTCTCCTGACCCTTCCACCTTCTCAACAGATCCTCCCCCTCAGTCTTGGGTCTAAAATAGTGATGACCCTCATTCTTCTTATGTCTTCTGAGAGAAGAATTATTACAAATCAGAAAGCTATCCAGTGGCCTGAGATTAGTGAACTTCAGCTTCTCACAGTTTGAATTATGTTTCCCTCACCCCTAAGTAGATTTTGTTAGGTGTGTTTTGAGAGGAGAGAAGGGAGTTGGGAAGCCAGGAGGGAAATATGTTCTCAGGGTTTTGTAGATCTAGGTCTTTAGGTGCAGGCCACACCATCACCCAGTAGGGCAGGGCAGGGAACCCCTGCAGTGCATACAGACTCTCAGAGCAGATTGCAAAGTGTGTCTGTTTCTCTGAGTGGAAGAGTGATGCCAGGATTCATTACCTGGGGCTGAAATTCAGCTACTACTTTTTTCCTCCACAGGCTCCTCGTCACAGAGACTAACCAAACCTTCCCAGCAACCTTCGTGTGTAGCACAGGGTGTGGAGCTAAACAGGTAGTTTTTGCTATCTGTGTGGTCTTAAGTTCCCAACTGTAAATCCTCGCCACACTGCTGTAAGGATGTCGTAAACTCATGTCCAGCTCTTAGCACAGTGATCAGAATGTGCTAATCCCTGAGTTGATCACTATGTTATGATTACTATGACTCTTTGGTGTTTGGTTATGACATAGTGTTTTAGTATGTATAGATACTTATGGATACTTATAGCACCTTTTGGTAAGAACTGCTACATTCCTCTGAAAAATGAAGTGTTTACTAGTTTTCAGTGAGGTTTCTTTGCCTCTGATATCCCATGGTGCTGACTGCTGGATTGTATTATTGGTGGATCATTTTGTAAGATTTAATCCTCCACTGGGGAAAAAAATGGAAATAAACACAGAGGGAACCAAACTTTATTTGGTATCTACTGTTTGGGGCTCTTTATATTGTAATCTAATTTGATCTTTGTAACAAGTAAAAACATTGAGACCAAGAAAGATTGAATAATTCCCTTAAGGTCACACCCATCTAGTGAAAGGCAGTTCTGAGATCAGATTCATTTTATTTCTCCTTTCCTGCTTCCATTTCTCTTGGGATTTATAAGGAGATCCCTGGATTTCTCTTATGTATTTCTCTATTTACTTTATGTAATTTTTTTCTAGAGTATTTTATTTTCATCTATGGCACTGAGTAGAGAGAGAAATTCATCAAGACTATCTGTCCATTTTAAAGCAAATCTCTTTCTTACAGGTAGCAGTAGCTGATGTGCAGTTTGGCCCCATGAGATTTCACCAAGACCAACTTCAGGTACTAAGGAACCAACCAGGTTACATCACCTGTTGATTTTTAAAAATGTGTTTGTGGGAGGGAGGCCTAAAATTATATGTAAGTCTTCTAAGATGATAGTATTACATCAATGTAGAATTTCCTGAAACTTGATAGTAAGGGCTGGAGTTGTGTAAGAGGATGTTCTTTTCTTAGAAATGTACATTGAGGTATTTGAAGGTAAGAATTTGTCTGGAACCTGTTTTAAGTTGGTTCTGCCAAAAAGAAAAACTTAATTGGCTGTGTATACACATTATGTGTTCAGAGAGAAAGCAAAGCAAAGGTGGCAAAATGTTAACTGATGAGTCTAGAGGAAAGGTATCCAGATGTTCACTGTCATTCACAATTTTTCTATAGGTTTAAAATTTTCCATAATTAGAAGTTAAAACATATACCTCTCTATGTTGCTGAGTCAACTCTATTAGAAAATACGTGTTATTTTTCAAGTCCAAAATATGAGAGAGAAAATACCCCGTTGTACTCAGGAGCCTGAGACAGGAGGATCACTGTGAGTTTGAGATCAGCCTGGGCTATGTAGTGAGTTCAAGGCCAGCCTAAACTAGTGAGACCCTGTCTCAACAAACAAACAAACAAAAAACATTACCCAATTGAAATTTAGCCATGTTATTTGGGGCTTCCTGTATACACACGTACTCACCCACACACACATTTACTGTTACATTTTTTTTAACTATGTAAAGGAGAGACTCAAGTGTGTGCTCTTTATTTCCTTGGATCTGTGGTGTGTGTGCTGTGAGTAAACTTAAAAGTAGGCCTTGGGGAAGAGGCTTTCTGTTGCCTTTGTATTTGGTCTCATAGGCCACTCCATCTCTACTTGAGCCCTGTTGCCCCACTGGGGAACCTGGCTCTGGGGAGGTAGAACAGAGGTGCTCCTTAGTCCCTTTGCCTGGATTGGGAAAAGGAGCTTGATTCCAGACCAGGTCCTGGGACAGACAGCATCATCCTGGGCATCAGCATGGACACACCTCCCTCCATCTGCTAGTGTGCCTGGGTCACTTAACTGAAAAGGTTTGAATTGCAATGTTTTAATCTACATCACTTTTTATAGTCAAGGTGATTTTTTTAACTTGGAGAAATTTAATAAATGTTTGAATGAAAACATTTAAATATATAAAAGATTACATTTTCTAATAGTTTCCCTGAAATACTAGTGTTTGTCATCTAGGTATGTTCAGTTAACTTTCTTTTTTCTAAAATACTTATTTGTGTGTTTTAATGGACTTGGTTTTAAGATAAAAAGCTTTAAGTCATTCTTGAGTTTTACCGATGGGTAAACAAGCAAAAGAAGTACATGATTCAAGCACTTGGACACTGAGTTTAAAGCAGATAGAAAATGAAACTTACTGCCAGGTATTGTGGTGCATATCTCTAATTTCAGGCCTTGTAAGACTGGCAGAAAGATCACTGTGAGTTCAAGGTCAGCCTGCACTACATAGACAGAGTCCTCTCTCATCCCCCGCCAAAACAAAACAATGAAAAACACTCATTTGGGGAGCTAAGTGAAAATGGCGCCGAGTAAAGTGAGGCAGAAGGATTTGAACAGATTGCTGTATTCACATCTGTGTCCCTGCTTTGAAATATTTAGGGATTTTCTTTGAATGATTAAGGAGTAATAGTTCTAACAAAGTGTTTTTTTTTTAATAACAGTGTCCATTCTCTTTTGATTCAGGTACTTTTAGTGTTTACCAAAGAAGATAACCAGTGTAATGGATTCTGCAGGGCATGTGAAAAAGCAGGCTTCAAGTGCACAGTCACCAAGGAGGCGCAGGCTGTCCTTGCCTGCTTCCTTGACAAGCACCATGACATCATCATCATAGACCATAGGAATCCTGGACAGCTGGATGCAGAGGCACTGTGCAGGTGAGCACAAGACTCAAGCCTGAGTAGTCTCGTTGGTATTCATGATAAACGCAGCCTGCAAACTCATTAAGTTGAATCAATCAATCTCTTTCCTTATACGGTATGTAAATTAATCAAGACACTAGTACTTCATTTCAGGGATTAATCTTTATTTCTTTTTCTTTCTTTGCTTTATTTTGCTTTAAAAAGTTGAAAATATGAGTGAGAAACATTATAAATTAAGATGAAAGCCAGTATTTAATTGCACCTATAATCCTCATACCACAGCAATAAGAATTATAATTTTCCAAATTATTTTTAAAGTTATGACTAACTTTAAAAATTCAAAATCACCCTCTAATGTTAGATAAATACACTTCATTTATAAATATGTGCACAATATTAAAGAGTTCTGGGTTGCAGACATAAATCTAAGAAAGTGCTTTTTTAAATTAAAAAACATTATTTGCTGCTGATGTATCCAAGGCAAAATAAAATATCCATTTAATAGGGAAAGACAAAACATAACCTCAGTGGAAAGTAAAATATTATAATAGTAACTTAGGGGTATTCAAAATTATGACTTTTAATAGGTAGAAAAGATTTAAACCAAATATAACAAGAGTTCAAAATTAATGTGGCAAACAGATAACATCATATCAAAGAATTTTTTGCAGGGTACTTGGTGATTTCAGTATATACCTATGTCCTTGGTAGTGAGAGCCCCACATTTCTGGTGGTCAGACCCGGTTGCTTTTACCTGAGCATGATTGGCCACCACTAGAATTTCCCCTCTGGCCTTGATGTGGTCCCTGAAGTGCTGCCTGTGTTCATCAGTAGGCTGTTATCACCGTAGCCAGTATTTGTTTGATATGTCATCTCGCCAGTCACCTAGTACAGGCACAAGGGATACCCTGTTGAGAGAAATGGAAAGAACTCCGGCTGGGATGGAAGGAAACCCAGCTTTTCCTTTGACAAGCCACTTGGCTGTGTGTAACTCTGCCCTCTCAGGGGCTGTTTTATCTTAACTATAAACTTGGAACACATGCTTTCCAAGATCCTGTCTCTGTGACTTAAGTGGATATGACTCAAAGGAAGGGAAGACAATATCTAAGTTGGGAAGTGTTTAAGAATTGATGTAGCAGTCTTGGTGGAATGCTCAAGGCAGGAGAAATATCTAAAGAGGGCCACGTGGTCACCAAGGTGGACATGGGACAGGGAGGAGATGCTGAGGAGAGCTTGGCCTCTTTCCCAGTCTTGTCCAGATCCCAAACCTAGCCACAGCTGGGTGCTGAACAATGGCGATTTATATTCATAAAGATAACTCTGCCAAATCATTCTGTTATAAAAGAATCATGAAATTGTATTTGTTATATTCCACATTGTGCTAAAATATATATAAAATTAGGCTCTACTTTTTCAGGGAAGAAAATGTACTATTATTATACATTTTAGGAATATTCTAAACATGTAGGGGCTAATGCACTCAATAAGTTTTTACTGAGACCTGTATAAGACAATTTTATAGTCTAAAAGTAAATAAACAAAACTCTTGTCTTTTAGAAGCTTATAAATTAGTGGATCTGAAGCATTTAAATGAAAGGTACTGTTACATAAAACTCAGTCAAAAAGATTCAGATCAGTTCCATAAGTATGAATCTGTCCTCTCACGGGTATAACTGTTTCAAAGAATTATAGCATAAAGAACGGGAACTTGGTCCATTTGACATTGGCTCTAGAGCAGCACAGTGTTCAGGATGCATTTGCTCTGCACTGGGCCCAGGGCCTCGCTTGAGGGAGAGCCTGGGTTTCACAAGTTCTCTGTCATGTCAAGCCCAACTCGGTCTAGATTTGATTTGCTGGAGCAGGTCTGCTCCCTCCCTGGAATGAACTGCTAACACTCAAGGGTAAGAATTGTGCTCTGCCAAGGTATCTGCTCTTTGGTGAGCTGAGCACATCCTCACTGCCAACAGAAACTGCTCATACAGGGGGTTTCATATTTGAGTTCCATCGAGGTGCCTGTACTTCCAAAGACCCTCTTCCAGTTTGTAGCTCTTAGCAGGATGGCTGCAGAGTGAAAAAGCTTACATAGGTTTGGGTGGAGAAGTGAAGAGCAGACAGAGCAGTTCCTGCTGTCCCTGTTGCTGGCTGGAAAGCAGACCCATACACATGTGGTTCCTGGTCACGTTGCTTTCTGGATGACCACAGTATAGTCCTAGCCAAGAATCTCAGTTCTTTTGCTACTGTCTTCTCCTGAATCATCTTCATCTTCTTGGTGGCTTGCGTGTGGGGTTTGGTGTCTTTGTGCCATTCATTGTGAGTCTTCCAGAAGCAAAAATAGGTCTGGTTTATTTTCCTGAGTCAGATTTTGGTCCCTACCTGTTTTATCTTCCTGAAGATCATCCCCAGAAGATGCGTGTTTCTTGATGTAACCCCGCAGATTACTGCTCTTCCATGGGCTTGCTGTCTACCCTCCGACCTCCAGAGCCCCTGTGACCTCAGCCCTGACCAAGCCCTGTCCTTTTCATCTCCTCTTCAGGAGGGCAACCTATGGAGATACCTAATGGACACCAGTGACCTGTGAAGGGTTTTTTCTTTTATCTTTGTGGTACGGTGGCTAGCACCCAGAACCTTTACACTGAATTGTATCTCAAAATTTAATTTTAACTTTAAAGGATATATTGGTTACTAGTACAAAATCCTTCAGTTTAAGAGGAAAGGATTATTTTGGCTTGGCTTTCAGCAGGTTCTGTTTGTAATTGGCTGTCTACAAGGCAGAAATGGCATGGCAGAAGGGACTGGCAGAGGTCAGGTGCTCACCCCACTGCAACCAAGAAGCAGATCTGGGGAGCAGCATGGAGAGGAAGGGGCCAGGACCAGGTATTCCCCTGAGCACACACCCTGAGACCCACCCAGACACTCCCAGAAGCTTACTTTACCAATCTGCAGATGACAGTCAGGATGAATGATCAGGAGGACAAGCAGAGACTTTAGTACAGGCTCATGAGTGCCCACAGAAGAGGTTTATATAGAGAGCTCTCATTCCCGCCTTGGTCAGAGAGGGCTTCACAGAGGACGTGTGCAGTGAGTAGAAGCTTTAAAGTAGAAGCAGCAGCATGGCAGGAATAAATGGGGCTTTAGCTCCTCTACTTGGTGTGTATGGCTGCTGGACAGGCAGATGTTGAGTGTGGTACAGACTGGAACTGGATCACCAAGGCCTAATGTGCTGAGCTGCAGGTGTTGAACTCTGTCCTTTAGGCTGTTGAAACGCTGATGCATCCTGTGTAGACAACTTCTGAAGCAGAATGGGAGATAGAAGGCTGTGGTAGGGGATGGAGCTGAGGCAAGGCAGCAGCTGTGGCTGGGAGAGGTTGCCTTGTGCAATTCCGAGAACCAGGGCTGCCTCCCACTTTTTTATAGAAGGACTGGGGAGCTAGTAAGAGGTAACATTTGACCATAGCAATAACTAAAGCAGAAATCAGAGATATGCCCAAAACTTGGAGAACAGGAAGGGAGAGAGGGACTCTTACTGTGCCTATGGGACTGGGGAACCAGTGAAGAGCCTTTTCCTGAGCTGTACCCCATATGCCTAATCCTTGGAAGCTGAAGTTCCAGTGGCCCTACAGGGAAGCAGTGGAAGAGGCTTTGGGTCTCTCCCTTTTGTGTTCTGCTGAGCCCACAATGCTGAGCTGCATTGAACAGAGAAGCAGATGGCAAAGGGCCAGCTGAGCAGGAAGGCCTTTGAGTTGGCCCCAGTCCTGTGCACCAGCCCCTACTGTCACTCTACCCCTTTGTCCTTTATTTTCACGTCCATTTAGAAATCCAAGACGAGTTAGACAGAGCCGTGCTAGAGCCATCCCTTTTCCTTCCCTGTGATGGGAACGGGCGGAGGTGAAAGGAGCCTGAGAGCCATCCTGTGGGTACTGCGGTTTCAGAGTTGCAGACCACACCAGCTCTTTGAGAAGTAGTCTGCATTTGAGAACCCGAACAAGCAGGCAGGAACACACTCGGTGCAGCAGCTGCCTGGCGCCTGCAGCCTTGCTGCCCTTGCCTCACCCGTGCCTGTGCCAGGCCCTTGGAGGAGGAAGGCTGCTGATGCCTTGGGTCTGGACTGGGGTTTGCAGGAACAGCTAGCTGGTCCTCTGCTGGCCATTCCCTCATGGGGAAGTGAGCAGGTGAGGGAGGGAATCTGTAAAGAGCTGCAGGATGAAGGGGAAAGAGTAGTATGTGCATGAAGAAAATCATCTTTTAAAAGATACAGGAGGAGGGATTCAAGGGGGAGGGTAGGGAATGGGGGAAAAGTTATATCAAGTACATTCATCATCTATGATGAATGTAATCATTAGATATATCTAAAATGTACCAGTAAATCTGATTTAAAAAATAAAATTTGCCAGGGATTTAGCTCAGTGGCATAAGCACCTGCCTTGCAAGCGTGCGGTTCAATGCCTGGTACAAAAAGAAAAGAAAAATTAAAATTTAAAAAGACATATGTCTTTAGTAGACATGCCACTCTGAAGAGGTGAAGGTGTGGTCCTGCGTGCTGCTGAGGCAGGGTTCTGCAGTGAAAGGACACACCTCATAAAGGAGATAGAGGAAACTGTATGGAAACTCAGGTGCAGGAACAGAATAGAAACCTACTTTGGGTGCAGAAGCAAGCTTGAGCTCAGTTCTGCTTTCATACAATTTCTCAGTTCACCCTGGTCTGTGGATCCTTTTACCTTTGCAAATTCCATTCTTTTCCATCTGAGTCTCATGCCGCATGGTAGAGATCAGCAGCCAAGTACCAGTAATGGAGTTGTGCTTTTGTAAAATTGAACTCTTTAAAGAGCTTCACTGTGAGAGGCTGACACAGGAGGATCATGAGTTTAAGGTTAGCCTGAGCTACATAGCAAGAAGCTTTCTGACAAAATAAAACAAAACGAAACAAAACAGCTTTGCTGTGCTCTTACTCAAGCCTCCTTTTTTTCTGATGTTCTCCCAGGCCATCATCAGAAGTATTTGTAGTTGTCTGTGTAAGCTGAGACTAGTGGTTGCCCCCAGTTTTTGTTTCTGTTCTTTTTTGTAGTAACAGAATTTCTGATCATTGTTGGGCATATGTCCACCTCATAAATATTTTGTGGCTTTTCTTGCTGCTGGCCAGTGGAACTATACTTTCACATTGGGTACCCTCACAGGGAGGGTATATGTCCTGTTTCTTACCGTCTGGCATGTGGAAGTTTAGCATCTCCTAGCATCTCCTGTACGTTGGTCCAGAAGGAAGAACACATGTACAGGCAGCAGAGGAATACCAAATGAATGGGGCTGGGCTCCTGACTGCAGAGTCCCATGGCAGCCCTGGCTGTCACCCTGTGCACATGGCTCCTGTGAAAGACAGTGGTATATGTGGAAGCCACTCTGCTTTGGGTTTTCTTCATATGAAGCAGCACGGGTTTTTAGCGTGTTCAAATTGCCACAGGGCCATTCCCGTCTCTCCTGACCTTGAAGTCCGCCTTCAAGTACGTTTTGACTGTGCCAAGTCACTTGTCTCCTAGTGCTCATGATTCTAAAGCAAGAGAATTTTTTTTTCAAGCCAGGTTCCTAACATGTCCATTTTTATAGCCACTTTTTACTCTTAGGCATTAGAAAAAGCCAAGAATACACTTCTGCCTTATTATTCTGCTTCAGAGCTCCCTTAAGGGCTTTATACCCCCAAGCACAGTCTTCTCTTCTGCTGCCTTTCCACTGTGCACCTCATTCCCATATCGCCAGCTACAGGAGCAACCAGAGCACCTGCTGAGAAGTCCTACCTTGCGGCTTGTGTGTCATGACATCACTCACATATGTTTTTCTTGTAAAAAGCTAAGTGCTGGCATGAGCTGACTTGGCTGCACATTTAAATCTGCCTTTCCTCATTTCAAATCTCTGATACGATAGAGAAACATAAACACCAGAGGAGACTCTCTCTCTAGAGGTCACAAAAATACCATATGTGAGTCTGTGTTCCTTATTTCCTGTTTGAGGTTAGCTCCAGGGAGAACATAGTTACCAGGAGTGCACTGGCCATGTCTGTGTGAGTGTTGGCCACACTGGTGACCAAGGCCTGAGCTGGCCTCCCTGGGTCCTTGTACAGGAAGCTCTTCTCCAGGCAGGGAGACCAGGATTGGACAGCCGTTAGAAAGGACCCTTCCGCAGTGCCATGCAGTCCCTGCATGGAGCGGGACCAGGAAAAGCAGAATGGAGAGATGAGCTGTGTGTCATGACAGGAGCTGCTGGTCCTGCAGCTGCCTTTCTATTCCTAAGCAATTAACTCTTCCACTCCAGACCCCAGGGCTAACCTGCCTCTGTTGCTAGACTCAGCCTTTTCTCAGCCTGAATGCCCCAAGGCAGGGGACAGCAAAGAGCACCCTCTGCCCACTCATTTTCATCTAGTCCCTGACTCCATTCATCCTGCACTGGTCCATTTTGGTAGTTCAGAGATCATATATGGTCTTCAAAGCCTCATATATTTATTCTCTGGCCCTTTGTATGTAAAGCCTGTAATACAATACATCTTTCTTAAGCATCTGATGTAGTTACGTTTTGTACTGTTTTGGGGAGAATTGGGAAATAGTTATTTTCTGTGGTCTGTGATTCAAAAGTGGTTCTATTTCCTGAACTAATTGTGTTCATGCTGCTAGCACAGCTGAAGTTACGTGATCAGCCCATCTAGTCTTTGTTCTGTTCTGGACATGTTTTCCGGAGGCCAGCACACTTCTCCTTTGACAGAGGCTGTCTGGAAATGGTCCTTCTGTTCCCCTCCTGCTGAGTGCCTCTCCAGTCTGCGTTGTCTTCCTCTGTCTGGGGCTGAGTTCTTTCCTCTCTAGTAGCCTGGATCTTCTCCAGACAGCCTTGGTGTCTGGTGAAGCCCTGGTGTCCAGACAGTCCTGGTATCTTCCCCCATCAGAGGAAGAGTTCGGGAGTTTTCTTCCTTTGCCTCTGCATGGCATTTATGTCTGCTCTCCTTGACCTTCCGGCTGTGTCTTTGTGCCCCATAGTCTCGGAAGCGGCTTCTCCCAAAGAGTTGTGAACCTTCTTGGGTGGAGCAGAGCCTTCTGCTCTTTACCAGGCCTCTGATCTTCACATCTTCTGGCAGGATTGGTTCTCTCCTAAGTACTAACTTTGCAGTGCCTGCTTTGGGATTTGTGGAGGGTATTTTGCCTCCATTTTTCCTAGGAATTTTTCATTCTTTGGGCTGCTGAGACTATAGAGAACTCCTGCATGGTCATACAGCCTTGTGTCTCCGTCCAGCGGGAAGAGACAGAGCTGTGATCCTTTTCACATAAGCATAAAATAGGGAGAGTTCTCCTCTGGAAGCCACCTAGATTGAGGATACCAGAGCAGAGAGGGAGCACACCAGTCACCTCAGTTAGGTGTGCATTCAGCCTCCATGCTTAGTGGTTGCCACAGTTCTCCAGCCAGGGATTTATTCCCAAAGAGAAAGATTAAGTAGTCACAAAGATGAATCTAGAATATAAAGGGATCTTCTCTTCACTCCGTGTCCCCCAACATTAATTGTTCTACCAAAAATATTTGACATATTTGTGTTTAACCATTTCCCGGTGCACTCCAGTGTCACTCTGGCGGTTCATGGACTTGTTTGTTCACATACTGACTGTCTTGGGTGTTGCTCAGGCAGGTGTCATTTCAGCCCATCAATGCTTGTTCACATGTCTGTCTGTTTTTATAGAGACTAGTTTTTGCATACTTTTTTATTTAGTATGTTGCATTTGCCTTTGATGTTTGTTTCCAGTGAAATCTAGTATTAAATTCTGGTTCATTTATTTATTTAGTGTTTTTGAGACAAGGTTTTACTATGCATTTCAGGCTGGCCTTGAACTCACAGGGATCCTCCTGCCTCAGCCTCCCAAATGCTGGGGTTATAGTTGAGCACCACCAAGCCTGGCTTAATTTGTGTTTATTTTACTTGTGGAAATAAACTATAATTTTTCACCATGATCTATAAAAACTTTTCATAAGTACATTAGAGATAATTTTCATGATTTTCCAAGACTCAGTGATACTGTTTTACAATACAAAACAGCCATGTGTGGGACCCTGAGACTAAACAGGAAGGAAGTGCCAAAACATCTGCAAAAGAAAAGGCTAAAAAGGGACAGAGGTTAACATAGCAGAGAGGAAAAGTCTGTTATGAAAAGGAAAAACAAAAACGGCCTCTCCTTACAGTTAACTGTTTACTGTTCATAATTCAGAAATGACAGAACTTGAAAGAAGAAATGAAACTAAAAACCTCCAGCAGCGGTCAGTGGTGATAATAATTCTATAGGTAATATCGATAGAGCTGACACAACAAGCTAATCAAAAAGCAAGGAAAAATATTGTCATAAAGTATATATCTTCTGGCCCATCCAATACGGAACTTGTTCGTTTAATCAAAACAGGGATTAAAATTAATTTAAAATTTAGGTTAGGTCTACGCGACCAAGTTGAAAAATACAGAACGGTGAAATTCCAACCAGGGAGTCCATCATTGATGTCTTCATCATTACATTTAGTGGGTGGATGTTTTATTAAAATTATACCAGCTATAGAAAAAAATGGAAAGACCAACACTACAGTGTAAAGTGTCATGCTCAAAGACAGTAATGCAGTCCAGTAAGAGAACCAGATACTACTGTCCTGATTGTGCCCTGATGTTGTATATTGAATGTTTTAAGATATACTATACACAGAGAAGTTATTGAATAAATTTGATAGAATTTCCATTTTTATATTTATTAAAAAATCAATGAAAAAATGCAATTTTGGGGTATCCTGTATTGGACTGGCAAATGGTTAAAAAATTACTTTTGTTGACATTTCTTTGTTTTTCTAAGGTCCATAAGATCATCAAAACTCTCAGAAAATACAGTTATTGTTGGTGTTGTACGCAGGTAAACTGCCATGGCGGGGTTTTGTTTCTTGGTTTTCGATGTTGAGTTGCAGTGAGGCTCAGCTGACAGGGCCAGACTGGGGATTGCCTCTGTGGCCGGCGTCCCTTTCAAGTTTGGCTTTTTCTTTGTGCTTGTATTTTTATTTTGCTTCTCCAGTTAGCTTCACAGAGTAAGTTGTGCTTCCTGATTTTAAGCTTTTTCCAGTAGGGCCAGGCAAGCCATGAGAGAATGGCCTTCCTGAGAGCAGGACTTCCCAGGGAAATCATCCTAGTGCTAACTCTAGATGCCTCTAAGGGTTGAAATTATAAATGAGCAGAGAGGATTTTTTTCCGTAAGTAAGAACAGACAGGAAATACAAAGGAGGACAACAAATATTCAAATAAATGTTACTTAGCATACAGATTTTTATAGATAGAAGAAATGTTTCTGTGTTTTTAAATTTTTTTTCCCCAGAGCTGTGTGAAAGAAAGGATTATTTTTGAAATGGGGTCTTCCTGTGTTGCCCAGACTGGGCTCAAACTTGGGATCCTCCCCTAACCTTCCACCCTACCCTTTGCCTCATGCTGAAATGAGATATGCCACCACCCCTGTTGGATTTTTTAAAAAAATAATGAACTGGGAGTAGAACAATATGAGAGAATTTAATTTAAACATTTTTCCATATTGAATAAGATAAATGGACACACCTCTATTCCCACTGTTAGTGCAGTCTCTGTATCTCAGGCATTATAATAGCCAGCTCCAGGGGCATGTATCTGTAGACCCAGTATTCAGGAGGCTGAGTCAGCAGAATAACTTACAGCTGGAAGTTTGAGACAGCTAGAGCAACTTAGTGAAACTCCATCTCAAATAAAAGCGTTATAATAATATATTTCAGGAAGATTAAATATTAAAGCAGAGAGTGATTTTCAACTTTGTATTCACATATTAGCCTAATTCATCTAAAAGTACTCATGATATGACAGTTAAAAGTATTATGTAAACTAGTGTTCATGCAAGAGGTGAGATGTCATTGACAAAACCTGTGTCTGACTCTTGCTGTATTCTTTTGAAGGGTGGACAAAGAAGAGTTGTCTGTGATGCCTTTCATTGCTGCTGGCTTTACAAGAGTGAGTACTTGCGTCTTAGCTGTACAACTATACCTAAATGTGAGAGATTATTTTATCTCAGGTCTTTGTCTAGCGATTTTGAATTTGGGGGGAAAAAGTCATTTCCTTCTGCTGTGTTACGTGTGGTAACTTTATAACCTGATAATCTAATTTTTAACACTTGAATTTGTTAATCTTTCAAAACTATGATAGTCAAAGTCATCTAAGCAAAATAAACTCATAATGGTATACTCATTAAAAATTCTATCACAGAATGTACTGGGGAGTTTTTCTGGGAAAGAGCGGGGGAGGTTGAAACAGGGTCTCGCTATGTAATTCAGGCTGGCCTTGAACTCACAGTGACCCTCCTGAGTGCTAGGATGACAGGTATGCTATTTTAATGCTTACCTTTAAATGCAGTTTTTCAAAGCCAGGTCATAGAATCTAAAAACAAGGCAACTTGAACATGGCTTTGTGCACCCCCAGCTCCAGTCTCTTGATTTCTCCTAAGCCAAGTGATTGTTGAGGGCTTTGGTCAGCTGATGGCAAATGAGGCCTGGGAGTCATGTTGGAGAGCTCAGGAGGTCCACAGTTTCAGCAGTGGGGTGGTCCAGAAAGCCACGCCCTGGACCAAGGGGCTATGTGGGCTATGTGGATGGTGCCCCAGCACCCACAGCGACAACTTTAATCCTCCCAGAGGAGGACCCCTTAGTGTTCAGCCCCAGAAGTTGCAAATTGAATTTTGATAAATGAAAAGCTAACAACTGAAACAAGAAGTGAGAAGAAACAACCTGCATGTGTCACAGATACACAACCACAGGAAATGAGTTAGAGAGGCTAAGAAATACGGGAGTGGAGTGTGGTGCTTAGTGTATGATGCCTAGAGTTCCAGAAGAGGAGGAAGCATGAGACAGAGGAAGAATCCAAAGAGTATATGACTGAGAATTTTCCAGCACTGATGAAAGAATAATCACAGATTCAAAAATTCCAGCAAATCCAAAGTAGACTAAATTAAAGAAGAGTTTACATCATGGTGAAACAAATACCTGTCTGAAAAAAAAAAGACAAAAAGCAAAAACAGCCAGAGAGAAATACTAAAATCAATTAGAGAACAAAGGTTACCTTAGGAAAGTGACAGTGGTACCAGCTTCTCAGCAAGGTGAGAAACATGATAAGGGGAATAGTATTGGCAGTGTGGTAAAATAATTTCCAGTCTAGAAAGTTATATGTAGCATGAATGTTCTAAAATGAGGATGAGATAAAGACTTACAGAAAAATGGAAACCAAGTTCATAGCAGATCCTTGTAAGGAAGTTCTGAAGGATGCAGTTCTTCCAGAGGAGGGCGGCAGGTCTGCCTGCCACATGCCTGCCCCTCACACTGCCCTCTGCCCCGGCTCCCCTGCCCACCCACACAGACATGTCCATGTGTTTAATTCCGTACATCTACTTATGTGTAACACTATCCCTGGGAGGACAAACATGGACTGAGACGTCCAATACTCCCTTAGTAGGAGTGTGCCCAGAGGGAGAGGTTAATAGTAGCTTAGTGTGGCAGTTGTGCAGTTGCAGTGTGTGGGTAGCAGGGAGTGCACACATTCTCACACCTAGACAGGTGCAGAGGCCTGTCTAGGAAATGTGCCAGAGGGAAGGCAGTGAAGTGTTGTGAGGTTTCATCCCTGTGGGAAAGATGTAGGACAGAGTTTCACTCGGTGGGACATACTTTGTTCTGTGGGTAGTTAGTATCTTATTTGCAAATAACAGAAACATCACTGCTTTATGAGATTATTGAAAAAAAAGTTGATTGTTAATAGGACAGAAAAAAATAATAAAACTTGGTCAGATGGGCAAACACAAGACAAAACAACAGTGTCCCTTCCATCAGTCATCAACATAACATGTAGCAAATGCACATGAGGCTTTAGATTGCGTTACAGGACACAATCCTGTGAGACATATCTATATATCTGTCTCCTAACATGTAAAGCAATAGAAGGTGCTTAATACTAAAGATCAACGATGAAAGATCGAATGAAAGCAGACAACACAGAAATGATAGTATCAATATCTAATAATAAGGAACTTAAAATTTTATACACACACAGTTTTGTATAAAATGGGCACATTAGCTTATTACCACACAGTTCCCTGACTGTTTTCTTGCCCTTGTTTGACAGCCTGTATAACATAGACACATGATAGTGCCTGTCTTCAACCCTGGGCTCTGCAGTCTCTGTAAAATTGTATGAAACAGTCTAGTGAGCCAGCAGGAAAGGAAGGGCTCCTTTAATAAAGCTCAGAATCCTGGCTTGGAAAGTGGTGGCTGCCTGTTCCCTGTGGGTCTTGAGATCCTCCCAGGGAAGCTGCTTGGGAAAGCGTTCACACAAAGAAAGAAGCTTTCCCAGATGACTGGAGATCTTTATGTTATATTATTATCCTAAGGTAGCGAAACTGGCTATTGACTTAAACAAGCATCTCAGAATAAGCTAGTGAAATGTAGGGAATCGATTATTCACCCTGCCTTTCAGTTATGTACTTACCTGCAACTACCCAATATCATTAAACTTTGTATTTATTTGAGGACTCGTGGAAAGCCTACAGATTCAGTGTTGGCAGTTCGTATGTTTGGAAAGTACTGTGGTGAAATTCTGCGCTAGGCAGTCTGTCAGCATAGTTACAGAGACTACCCAGAAAGAGCATCCTGGTAGATGGTCTAGTAAACCACACTCCTCATAAGTAACTGACACACCCTTCCTGCGCTCTTGCCCACTCTACGACTGAGGTGTCTTCTGACACCACTATTAGAGCCAGCACTGCTGAGAACACACCATAAAGAAGCAAAAAAGTGTCACAGTATCACTTTCAAGATACTGGCTGAGGGGATTTTGTAGGTGAGCAACCCAACATGGTGGCTGGACCTCAGAGATGCCAAGTACTAATCTCATCCAGTGTTCCTAACCTGCACGTGACAGAAGGATGCTCACATCGCTGGGCACAGCTAGACCTAGCATAAAGGGAGTCTCCAGCCTGCCAGCCTGAACCAAAAACTGACACTATTTTGAGATCTCTGGTGTTCAGGAGTCTGGTGGCTATTTTGTGGCCAAGCCATTCAGGGTCACAGAGTGGAAGGGGAGCCTGCTTTCTGCTTCAGCTGGACTGGGCAGTCAGGCAGGCATTGGGGTTTGTGTCTCAGTGCTGAGTTGTGTTAGTACTCCCTGAGAGCATCCCTGGAGAGCCTGCTTCCTCAGCCTGTAGAGGAGCCTGCCAGTGGGCATGGTTTTATTCACACTGGGGATGATTGTGTAGGAGGTCAGGAGTAGAGAGCCACTGAGTAAGGCTCTGGAGGGGGAAGGCAGGTCCCTGCTGTGGTGTGACCTGCCTTGTGGAAAGTGAATTGAGTTAGCTGGGAAGATCTGCAGGGTTAATGGGGTGGAGATTGGAGAGAGACTACTGCTGCTTAAGCAGAGGGAATAGCAAGCTGCTTCTGTACTCTGCTCTGTAGAGTCCTTGCCACAGAAAAGAAACGTGGAGAGAGGTAGCAGAAATGAGCTGTTTAGACCCACAGCAAAGCAGAGATGAGGGGAGGGATGGACAGTGGAAGCAAGATGCCCTTCATATGGACATGTGCTAAGCTACCTTTTACCATGATTTCTACCTTGGGGATACACTTTGGTGGATCTGTAACACAAAAAGCCAATGAAAAGTTTTCACATGAGAGGCATCTGTTGAAGTGAATAAATATATGTGTCGCCCACCCTCTCCCAAGATGTTCCTGGAGACTTCTGCCCATCTCAAGGCCCCAGCCCTCATTTGCTGGAGTGGCACAAGCAGTGTGTGTCCAACTCCTGTGGAGGTACCCGCGTGGTCAGTAGTCAGTAGTCTTGTAGACGGCAGCATTCTTGGAATCCTCCTGGATCCTCCAGCCCCCGAGGGCAGTGGGTCCAGCAGCTTCCATAATATTGGCTGCAGGGGCTGGGAAGCCTATCGCCTGTGTCAGCCTACTGGAAAGAAGGGTTGAAATTTAGCCCAGGCCCCAGGACTACCCAGCCCACAGCCAGCTCACTTGGCTTCCTCTCATGAGGCAGCACTAGCTGTTCCTCACCTTTGTGCTGCTGTGTTTAGGCAGCAGGCTGTTCCCAGCATCTCTGTCCTCATGGTGAGCTGCCTCGGGAGGAACAGTATTACTTCCCTTGTTGTATAGAGGAGGAAGCAGGCTGAAGGGAGGGTTGAAGTACCTCATTTCAGGACATGCAGCCTTTCAGGCATGAAGATGGGGCTGGATTTTTAGGTTGCTAACGCCCAGGCAAGACCCTGATCACTGCCAACATAGGAGCACCACCTTCACCATGGCAGTGGAGGGAACTGCTCATGGTCCCCAGTCCCCAGTCCCCAGTTGTCTGGCTGGGGCAGTCGGGGAATAGCCTGCACAGGACCTACCTCTTCAGCCTTAGCTTCCTTCTTAACCAGATAGAGTATTGTTCACTCCTTATACAGGTGATAGAAGAGCTCATCACAGAAACAGGTGAGAAAATGAGCGCTTTCACTTCTGAATGAAGCTGCTGTTGACCTCCTTATCTACAGGCTGTGCGTCGGGATTTTGCCATCTGCACATCAAGTGTGCTTGGGGGAAACCTGAGTCAGTACTGAATGTGTGCAGACATTTTCTTGTCATTGTTCTCTAAACAGTACAATATTAACAGTTTAAATATAAATTAAAATTTATTTACAATTAAAATTTAAATATAACATTTACACTGTACTAGGTGCTATAAGTATTATGGAGCTGATACGATTTAAAGGACATAGGAGGACAGTGCAGGTTGTTTGTAAACTACTGTTTTTATAAGAGGTTTGAGCATCTGAAATTTTATATTTTGGGGTTGTCGGGTCCTAGAACCAGTATTCTGTTGAGCCTGAAGGGCAGCTCATGTGACAGCAACAGTGACTTCTAGAGCTTTTTTATTTTTTTTTTTTTTTGTGGTACCAGGGATCAAACTCAGGACCTTGTGCTTGCCAGGCAGGCACTTACATCATTGAGCTAACTCCCCAGCCCAACAGTGACTTCAGATAGCGTCATGTAATACTTCATTTGATGGTAGCAAGGGTCCATCTTCTCAGAACTGGGCTTTGCTCTGTTGCAGGATGTTTCTGTTGTGTAATGGTTGTTATCCAAAGTGCACAATGTTTACCACAGTGAGAGACACTGGGTGAACGTGTGCTTCTGCTGGCACTTTGCTGTCAAGGTCATCAGCTGGCCACTTTGGAGGATGTATAGGAAATGTTCCAGGTGGAAGTTCCTTCTGACCTTCAGGTCAGGTAGAAAGGAAGGATACTTCTGCATACCATGAGTTTGCCTGATTGTAAAAAGGACAACATATGGATCCTGATTTTACTCTGAAAACCTGATGTAACTCTACCTCTAGTTAATTTCCTTCTCTACATATTCTAACCTCTGCTGTACCAGTGACGTGCAGGCTTCCAAAGTGCTCATAAGGCACTGAAAGAAAACCTTATTTTTTAAAAAGCAGTTTGGTGTAAGTCCCACCTCTAATCTCCTGTTTGTTATTAATGATAATAAATTATTTTTTAGATTTCAGTTGCCAAATGAAATTTATTTAGAAGAATTGTTTTTAATGGGCATACGTAATTATTGAAAGATAATCCCTTGTTCATCCACATAGTTCTCCTTTCTGTTTATAGAGGTATGTGGAAAACCCCAGCATCATGGCCTGTTACAATGAACTGCTCCAGCTGGAGTTCGGGGAGGTGCGATCACAACTAAAACTCAGGTAACTCACCCCTCCCAGAACACCCTCTGGCCACACAGGGCTGCTATGCTGTCCCAAGGACTTTCTGGGCCATAACTGACTCCCAGATAGGTAGGGACTCTGGCCACTACTCAGACAGAGTCTAGATCTGTCTGGATGTCTAATAACGGTTACATTAGTCATTGGAAAGTCACATATAAGCATGGGCCCTTACTAAAGTGATAGTAAATAAAGGTAAGCTGCAGAATTGTACATACTGCATTTTCTGTTTAGTGTTCTAAGAGAAAAAATACATATATGTGTGCATATGTATTTGTGTGTGTGTGTGTGTGTGTGTGTGTATTTGTAGTGGAAATTAAAATCAGAGCTTATTAGGCTCTGTGACACTGAACTATATCCCTGGCCAAATATTTTAAGTGTATGCATATACTCAGTGTATTGTTGTCTCTGGTTGGTGATGTTTTTTCTTTATAATAAACATTTTATAATTTGTTCATGATAAACAGGATTCCCCCATACTTCCCCCTCCTCTGCAGTGATGTGAGGTCTTTGTAGAGCAGGAACAGCAAAAATAAAGCAGTAAAATTATGTCAGGTTGACAGAAGGAAAATAAGGTCAGAACTTCCTTGGCATTCTAGCTTCCTTTCTTGGGTGTCCTACTGTTTGACCTTTCTTTTACCAGTGATCAAAGAATGAATGGGGTCATTCTGTTTGTATATGCCCAAGCACAGAAATGGGGACTTGCAGGGTCATACATGGGGAAGAAAAGTGCCTCACAGACAGAGTGAAGATGAGTGAGTAGCAGGCAGGGTGTGAGTGAGCAAGGAAGAGCTGTGGAGCAGGATGCTGAAAAGCAGGCCTGGCCTACAGAAGAGCGCTTGTTGCCAGCTCTGTGAGGAAACTTGAAGCAGACTATGGTCCGTGGCCAGCCTGGTCACAGCACCCCGAGGGAGTTAGGCTGCCATGCACTCTCAGAGGAGAGTAGAATGAATTTGGAGCAGAAAGTGATGCTAGAATTTATTTAATCCAATCAAGATACAGGAAATGAGGTTCACAGAGGTTAACTAACTCACATCCGGGAACTCAAAAGCAGCAAATGGCAATCTGGTCCTTTAGGTGGAACCTGTGTTTCTGAACTGCTGCAGTCACTGTTGTTTTCTTTCTCCATTTCTCACTGGCCACCAGGCTTTCTTCCTGAATACCTCAGCTTAGTGAACATAAAAATCAGTCTCTGTCTCCTTCACACTTCGTGAACCCCAGACCTCCCCATCCTGTTGTCCTTTCCTCCTGAGTACCTCTGGGATCTGTCTACTTTTCTTCATTTAAATCTTCACTGCTACTCTTTGTGTATAATCTTTTATCTGGATTATTGATTGAATCTGTCCGTTTCCCTACATCTACCCTAACTTCCTCCTGTCCGTTTTCCACACTAAAGTAGCAGATAATAACTATTTATCTTTCCATTCTGTAATTCTCTATGGCCTTGAGAATGAAGCCCAGACTCCAGAATGTGGTGCCGGGGCCCTCCAGGCCAATCTGCTGCCTCCATTTCTGGCCTCCTCTCCCATTATGCCCTGCTCCAGCTCACAGCCAGATAAAGATGTTTATTACAGACAGAAGATATGAAGGACAGGGAATGTGGGACTTGAGATTGGGAGAAATAGAGACTTGCTCTGCCAGATACTAGAAATCAGTAACAAGTAACTTTGTGTTACTTCTGGATCAGTGGAGGAGAATATGAAGTCTAAAAATAGGGTATATTGGATATATTTGAGGATTTAGTGTACAAGCAACATGGCTTTTAAATCAACACAGGAAAGAGTAGACTTTTTAGTTAGTAAGATTGTGATAACTGGTTAACTCATTGGTAAGAAAATTAAGTTACAGTCTGACCTTACCCCCTTGAAATAAACCCTGATGAATCAAACACTTAAATGGAAAAAAAATAGTTCCACATTAGGGATGAAAAATATAAGTGGACTTGTGTAATCAAATAAAGTCTTTTTAAATGCAGCATGTCCTAAAAGCTAGATTCCATAGAAGTCATATTAGACAACAAAAATTTCAAACTAGTTAATAGTTTTTAAAAAAGACCAAAACCTGAAGTAATGTTAAAATTTTATTTGTTTGTTTTTAATTCTTGAGACAGGGTTTCATTATGCAGTTCATTATGCAGTTCAAGGCTGGCCTTGAACTCACTATGTAGCCCAGGCTGGCCCTGAACTTGCTGCCATCCTTCTGCCTGAGTCTCTCAAGTACTGGTAGTACAGGTGTGCCCCACTATACCCAGAAATAATGTTAAAATTTTAGACAAATGGCAGAGAAATGTACCATATATTTGTAGCATATAGGGCAGGCATTAGAGTAATATTCAAGAAAGAGGGCTTGGGAGAATCAATAAAAACAACACTTCAGAAAAAACCTAAGGGACATGTACTAGCAATTTACAAAAGACATTCATAATTAATATATATAAAGAAATATTCTGCCACACTTAAAGAAATAAATGTAAATTTAAGTGTCATAATACCAAAATCTGCAAAAGTTAAAAAAAAATCTTCCCAGGAGATTTCTTAGTGATCATCTCCTCTAGGCTTGTTATGTCAAAGATAGGAACTTCTCACTAGTTTTTTTTTAATAATAGCTTATTGAGATAGTCACATACCATCTATTGATATGTTAAAAAAGAAGCTAATTTTTATTGGCTAAGCAGTTTTATCTTGTTTGGTGAGAGAGTTTAGTAATACCAAGAATAATATAAAAGCATCATTATTCTAAAATTTACTTATTACTGCTGTACTTTATAAACAAGCAGTTCCTTTTATTTTTTTTTCTTTAATTTTCTAGCACAAGTGAGCCTTCTAAGCAGCTATGGTGGTGCATGCCTGTAATCCTAGCAAACAGGATGCTGAGACAGGAGGAAGGCTACAATTTCAGGGCCAGCCTGGGCTACAGTGAGTTCAAGGCCACCTAAACTGCATAGTCAATCAGACCCTGTCTCAAACCCTCCCTACATGCGCGCGCGCGCGCACACGCGCACACACACACACACACACACACACACACACACACCCATATTCATTCTTTAAGAGATTCTTTAAACATACAAGGAGAAAAACCCATAAGTGATCTATGAGTCTAATCACAGGTAGGTTGTTGAATAAATTACTTGGTACTAAAGACCTGTAATTATTGATTAATGCACATTTTACAGTGAGAAAAACAGAACAGGAAAATTCACAGAGATAGAAGATTAATAGCCTAAACTGTGGTTAACACAAATAGCCTAAACTTTTGATTTGTGCACAACTCTGAAGATAATAAAAGCTATTAAGTTAAGCATTTTTCTTGGCAGTGTCTCGCTATGCAATTCAGGCTGGCCTTGAACTTACTCTGTAGCCCAAACTGGCCTCTAACTCACAGTGGTCCACCTGCCTCAGCCTCCCGAGTGCTAGGAATTCAGGGGTGCACCACCACACCTGGCTGAATTATGTGCTTTAAATGGCTGAACTGTATGGTTTGTGAACTATGTTGATAAATTTCTTTAAAAATAAATGAGCTCAAAACATCGGAAATCCCAACAAGGAGGTGTATCAACTAGTATTCTAGGCATTTGCTTGTATAAACACTTATATAAATACATATGTGAGTATATTTGTAGAAACAGGATCGTACTGTATAGTTTTACAATCCGAAATAGTTGGATCATATGGTGATTCTGTTTAACTGTCTGAAGAACTTCCAGGCTGTTTTATAAAAAGGGGCTGCACTGTTTTATATCCTGTCAGTGTGTAGGAGGATCCTCACCAGCACTTAGGGTGACTTGTTTTTCCAGTTAAAAACCACTACTGGGATGATATGCTATCTCATTTATTTTTATCTGCATTTTCTAATTTTTGTTAATAAATTTTACTTCTATAAAATTTAAAAATGATTTCCAGTCCTAAGGATGTGAGAAGTACTCACAGTATAAGTGGAAGTAAGGAAAGCAGAAAACAAAGCTGGTCATTCTAGGTGATTTCAGTTTGGTGAAAATCATTGTTTAAAATAGTATCTCCAAACAGCTGAAGTCCTCCATGGCAGGCCGTGGCCTGCTTGACTATGTTCTTTTCATGTAGCCCTGCTGAGGCTCTTCTGACACTGAGAAGGGACAGCTTGAAGGTGCAGCTGCTGGAATACTTGGGGTCCCACACTGCTGAAGAGCTGTGAGTGGAACCTGGTGTGTGACTCCCGGCCTCCGCCTCTTCAGAGCGGCAGTGTATGTAGGGGTGGCTGACTATAGGCGCAGCAGGAGGTGTCTCCATACTTTTAGAGATCCTCTTCCTTTTCTTACATGAGTGTACAACGTTATTTACAAATCAGCCCAAATCACATTTAAATAAGCTAATGCAGTAACAAGAGATTGCATTAGAGTTGGTAGTAGTATCTATGTTAATCCTTCTGTTTCTACCCATAAAGGGCTTGTAACTCAGTATTCACTGCATTAGAGAAAAGCCAAGAAGCTATTGAAATTACAAGTGAAGACCACATCATTCAGGTTTGTTATTTTGGGAAATTGTCCTTGTTTTCTTGTCTATTTGCTCTCATTTTTAGGATTGACCCCCTCTGATGTGATTTATTTTTTTCTTCTTTTCAAAATTCAAGGGACTGGTGGCTGGGGATTTAGCTCCACAGTATAAGTACCTGCCTGGCAAGCTCTATATTAAAAAAGATGCTAATATGATGTTAGAAAATTTGCATTTATTGTTTCTCACTGGGTTGTGTATGTTTAGCAAGGAAACTAACTCAAAAGGGTTGCTTGAGAGGAGCATACAAATATTCTAGTGGAATGATATGTTGTCTTTGCTATTTTGACCTGTATTTTCTAATTTTTGCCAGTAAATATATTTTACTTTTATAAAATTTTAAAATGATTTCCACTGCTAAGGATATGGGAACACTACAGTAGAGAGAACTTTGCAAGGTCTAGAAGCCTTTCTCACTGCTCTTACACCTTTCTTACTGTTTTGGAAGACAGTTTATACTTGTACAGGTTTCTAGAAAAAATGAAAATGTCAAAAATGGTATACCTAGTAATTACAGAATACCCACTGTTAGTAAAGTGGGTTTATATAAGTGACTTAAGAGACCACGGCTCACACTTCAGATAACAAAAACGAGAGCTGTGCCACAGGAATGGTTCTCTCTGGGAATTGCTCCACTTGATTCTCCTGGGGCCCCAGTGCTGTCATTTGACTGATGGCTCCCATGGTGAGGAGTTGTGGTGTTGGGGCCTGGTGTCATCAGTGCCCTGCAAAGTGGCACAGGCTTCGGTATGTGCCTGGCTGAGCCATTTTGAGCAAATTACTTAACCCCAATCCAGCTAAATCTGCTGTGTCATCTGTGTAGTTGAGAAGGGTATTAAGAGTATCAGCCACCTGCCTTCTGTAAGGTTGTTTTGAGGGTGAAATGAGTTAATGTGTGTGAAGTGCTTATTATAATGTCTCACAAGGAAAACAGATATTAGTAACCAGCATTAGCTACTGGTTCTCTCACCACCTTCAGCACATACACAGCTTTCCCCCACATCCTCTCCCATCTTATAGTCCTGTTCGATACTTAACCACTAGAAGTGACATTTGTTAACACTTGCTAGTTCACAGCCTGCTTTTCACAAACCTTATTTATTTGAATCCCGTGAGAGAGGCGAGAGTTTCATTCTCATCACGCAGATGAGCAGGAGTGCAGTGCCTCGCAGAACCCCGCAGTGTGCCAAGGAGGAGAGTGCAGGTGTTGCAGGTCGCAGTCTGCTGTTTCACACGCTGCAGCTCCAGCTCAGCAGCCCGGATGTGTCCTGCGTGGTGCTAGTGTCTTCTGCCCACTTGGTCAGGGTGGCTGCTGCCACGGCAGGAAGCCCAACCACTTGTCCCATTGCTGATTCTCCTGAGCTCATGTTCTTGTGGTGCTGGAGTGATGATTGGGTGCAGGCTCTTGGGATGGGGTTGGGGAAACAGGAAACAAGAGTGCTTAGGTGTGACATCCTTGATTGTCATCTTTTCGAAATGTTTTTGAGTTCATTGGATTTTTTTTTCTTTCATCTCTCCCCAGTATGCAAATCCTGCATTTGAAACCACAATGGGCTATCAGTCAGGTGAATTAATAGGGAAGGAGCTAGCCGAAATGCCTATACATGAAAAGAAGGCTGACTTGCTGGATACTATAAATTCATGCGTCAGGATAGGCAAGGTAAGTAGGCCAGTCCCTCTGTCACTTTCGTGTAACAAGGAAGACTTGGTGTTCAGTGAACACTAAGGTGCCAGGTCACCTCAGCCTTCAGCCTTACTCTTGCCACAGTTCTGGGAAGTGTTTTTTTTTGAGACGGGTCTCACTATGTAACCCAGGCTGGCCTGGAACTCACAGCAATCCTCCAGTCTCTGAGTGCAGGGTATAGGTGTGCACTACAAGGCCTGGCCACATGTTGTTCTTTTTTATCCATGATTTTCAGATGAGTAAACTGAGGCCAAGAAAGTATATGATATGATTAGTCAGTAAACAGAGTAACGGAGGCCTACTTGCTGATCTGCGAAATGGGAGTTGCTGGCTGGTGGCTCTAGGCGAGGCTTGGCTATGCGGCTGCATGTCTGAGCCTAGCAGTGCTCTGAACCTCCATCATTTGTGGTGCATTTTAACATGTGTGCTAAATTCTGGTAAACAGAGAAGAGCAAATGAGAATTCTGATTTAGGAGAGCACTGGACCAAAGTAGGAGACAGAAGGAGCCATTAGGAATGTGGATGCCCCAGGATCACACCTCAGAGGCACAGGCTGCGGGCCTGGTCTTCAGGATGTCATTTCCTCCGAGCATGGCCTCTGACAGCACCTCCTTTAGGAGGCTTTAAGGCATGATGGGAAGGGGGACTTTGCTGCTTTCCTAGTCACTTTCTGTCCTGTCTGCTGGGCTTTTCCTCACTCGCACAGCTGGACAGAGACTGCCAATCTGTCTCCTGGGACTGTTTGCACACTTGGTAGTGTATGTTGCTGTCTACTCTGCAGGGCCCAGGTTTTAGCAATGTCCCTCCCCAGGGCTGCTTGCCCAGTCCTATCCTGGAGCACAAGTGCCCAAGGGCTGCTCCCTTTGCTTCTCCTGCTCTGAGCACACAGGAGCTGGAGAGGAGAGTGGAGACAGCCCTGGACTGTGCAAAGTACGGGGCTGCACTGCTGCTGGGGAGTGGCAGAAGCGGGCACCACTAGCATTGTTGGCTTTCAGCTGTCCTATCAGGTGTTTCTCTTCCTACAGGGAGGTGAAGGTCTGTCTTCTGTAGAGAGAGAAGCAAAAGCCTAAGTGGATTCTCAGGGGCACTGAGACCCTAGCAGCCATAGAGGGCTTTCCTGTGACCCCCTGGCCCTGGCATTTCGGTCCTTTGCTGCTACTGGGGTGGTCAGTGGTTTTGTGCTTAGTATGAATCAGGACAATCTGTGAATACCCTACAGTATTCCATGTCCCTGTCCCGGGGTCGAGGTGGAGGGTAAAGATAGAGGAGAGGTGCACAGAAGATTAGCTCTGTACCCCGGTGTGCATCAGGTCTGTGCACTGGCCTGGGTCTGAGGAGGTTCCAAAGCTGAGCTAAGGAACCTAACCCACTGTACATATTGAAGGGGCTCGCAGGTTTGCTGCCTCCAGTCACAGAAAAAGAACTTACAGGACACATCAATAAGAGGCTTAGGAAGAGTTTGTTAGGAATTTTAGTACATACTCTGAGAAATAGAGGGGAGACTAAGAGAGAGAGAAGAGCACATTGATTTTTTTGGAACAGGTAACATTTATGGATATTTTTTTTGAGAGGGTAAAAACCCTCAACCCATGGGAAAGGTAGCCCAGTCCCCAGAAGAGCACTGGCCCATACTATAGGTATAAGCTCAATTTTTAAAAATTAAGATGAATAATTTAAATATTTTTTGCATTTTCTCAACCTGTTCCTTTATTTTTGGGTCAGATTCCTGCTCTTTATTTTTTCAATTAAGCCAATTAATGGACTCAGTGTCCCTGAGGATCTTTGGCTGCTGATGTACACGCCTTGGTTGACTTCACCTGAGGCCCAGAATTACAGTCTTAAAGTACAATTTTTAGTTAAGATTTTCTTGTCTTCTTTGTGTCTATGTTCTTCTCCCCTACCTTAACCTCTGCTGGAGTTATGCTGTTGGGCACCAGGTTTGGAGGGCCTCCAATTTGAAGAGCAGGAGACCTGTTCTGTAAATTCTGAACTTAGGATGAGGAGAAAAGATGAGCAGATCATTAGCCCCCGTGAGGCTTCAGTCCTAAATAATTCTGACCCTTTGTGTATTTCTGAGTTCTTTTGGGGAGTAAGAAGGTGACTGCCTTTAGTTGGTACCTTGCTGCTTTGCTGGCAGCCCTGCAACAGGCCAGTCCTTTAGGTTCTTGGGGTGAAAGAGGAGAAGCCTCCCTAATCCAGCTTTTCTAGGGAGGACCTGCTAGAGGACCAGGGTCTGGTGGCACAGGTGCTGTAACAGGCAAGGAGAGCTGGGTACAGGCAGGCAGAATAGAGGCTTAGAGTGGTTGGCAGTCAGGGCTGCAGGCCCTGGAGTGTCAGGTGCTAGCTGTTGGATATCTAGCTCCTCACCCATCATTTTCAGCTGGCTGTTGGGTAGAAATGAATGACACGTTGACTTTCAGCCCTGCGTGCTTCCTTTTATACACTGGTTTACACCCCTCCTGACTCTTTTTCTTTTTCCTCAAGATTCTCCTGTCAGGGCTCTAGGACCCATAATCTCTCCTCTTTTCACATCCTCAAGCCTTACCTTCTTTTTGGAGATCTTGAAGTTTTCCCTTGTCTTTCTCTTCCCCTGACATGTACTCAGTACAGGTAAGTGTTGGCTGCTCAGATACCCACTGTACGGTAATGACGCGCAGCTGCAGGGCCTTTAGCCTTCTTTGCTTCCTGGAGTCCTTTTTTCCTACTCTGCTTCCTTCGGTTTCTTCATGGGTTTTCCTGGATGCTGGCCCCTGTCCCCTACTGTGATCCCTCAGAAAGCTCCTCGGTTGTGGAGGTGTTGTTCTGTACCATGTAGATGTCTCACAGGTCCCTGGTTTTTGTCTCAGCCTCTTCCAAGATCCAATTCAACATCCTGCTGTCCCCCTGAAATTCAGTTGTCTAGCAGTGATTTCTTTTTATTCGCCACAGTCAGAATCCCAGTGCCTCTTCAGGCCCAGGTTCTGCGTGCTCATGGACCACCCTCACAGTTGCCTTGTCCTAGATTCCTGGAGTAACTGATTTTTTTTTTTTTGGCCTGCCTTTTGATCTCTTCCCTCACATTTGTCACCAGCCACGATGGCTCTCTACCCGCTAGGCTTTGTGTGTTTGCTGCCTTTTGTGACCTTGTGCAGGCTTTCTTCACACAGCCTGGAATTATGGGGCTGAATCCACTTTGGTCTCCTTCTCCCAGAACCCCCGACCCCGCTCAGTTCACTCCACAGTCTTGCATGATCAATCCTATTCAATCACCTTGTCATGTCCCTGTCTCAGCCCAGAGCTCTGAAGCCTCAGCCCAGTGACCAGGGTCCTGTAGTTGACCTTGGATACTCAGTGAACAAAAGCTTCAAGTGTTCCCTGCTTGTTTACTGTGTGCAAGCACCATCCTGGCCCAGGGGACAGGATGACAGCTGGATGAGGATGATTTAATTCTGAAGACACCAGGCGCCAAGGGGGACTGCATCAGCATGGAGCATGGTGCACAGCTGTGCAGAGGGAGGGACGAGAGGGAGGCTCCGACCTGTGGCTGTGCTGTGGAGAACCCACCTGGGAGAACCTGTGACAGGGTTTGGGGCTCTGCTCAGATCTTAAATCAGCAGGTGTAGTACTGTCATTATTCTTGGAAACTAAAATTTACAGTAAGTGAATAGCTGTATGATAAGTAAATATGGTTTCTGCTAAGAAAAGATTTTTTTTGTTTTCATTGGCTACCAGGAAACTTAGAGGAATATCTGTTACCCAAGCCAAGACATTGGCTAAATCTTCTCACTCTTTTAGGTGGGTGCTGGAACTTTGGCAGCATGGCTTGTGGTCCCTTGGCCTGGGATCTGTCAGCCTCCTAAGTGTATGCAGGAAGGATACATTTCCACATACATTTTTGACCCCCCAAAACATGTCACTACTTAGACTGAGAGACCTGGCTCAGAAAGAATTGTCAGGTTACCTGAAGTTGGATTTGGGATTGGGATCATTTTGAATCCTAATTGCTTTAGCAGTAGTAAGTGAATCAGAACTGAAAATGTTCTTAAATTTATGTTTTAGACACAACGTATGATTAATGATGTTTAATCCCATTTCTAGGAGTGGCAAGGCATTTACCATGCCAAAAAGAAAAATGGAGATAATATACAACAGAATGTGAAGATAATACCTGTCATTGGACAGGGAGGGTAAGTGGGGGAACAGATGCTTCAATTAATAATTATGTTTTGGGTTATTACAGATTTTGCTTTGAATACTTAGGTAACTTCAGAAGTGTTTGCAGGAATTTAAAAGGTTTGTGACAAGACAGGTGCCATCGCAGGGTGGCTTCTGCGGTGGCATTTCCTTGATGAGTTTCTCTCCGCTGTAGTCTGACTCTAACAGTCTTTTTTAAGCTGCTTGGAAAGCCAGGCATGGTGTGGCTCACACCTGTAATCCCAGCACTTGGGGCTGAGGCAAGAGGATTGTTGTAAGTTCAAGGCCAGCCTGGGCTACAAAGTGAGCTCAAGGCCAGCCTTTACTGTGTAGCAAGACCTTGTCTTAAAAAATAAAATAAAATAAAATAACTATGTGAATGCACAAGTGATGGAGGTATTCTTTTCAAACCAGAATGTCAGTTTTTTAAGCTGCATGGTAAGAATACTGACTGGTAGCCTCTCTATATTTGAAATTTTTTAATATAATCCGTGCACTGTTTCCATCAGGCTTATCAAACTAGATAAAAATAATACAGAAAAGTCCTTATGTAAAACATGTGCATACAGATTGGAAATTACTATATATCAGCAGCCTAAAAATTTCAGATAATTTGTCTCAGAACCTAACTGAATTAACATGGAAAATGGAAAATTATGGATTATAAACGCTCAAGAGTAAAATATACAACCATTAAAGGTGACAAGCATAGAAAACTGGACTATAAAAAGAAAGCTTACTTATACTCTGAGTAATTACTTTGGTACAGTCTATTAGCTACTATTTTCTTATTTTTTGTGAAATTTTATTTTCACATAAGGTAAAAACATAGAAAGGTTATGATTATAACGTTGAATGTGAAAAGTCAGACCTAATGTATTGCTGCAGCCATGTAAAGGAAAGGAGCAGGCGGAAGTGAGGCGCTGCTGGTTCGGAATGGGAATTAGTGCAGTCCCCTGCCCATCCATCCCTGGCTGTGCTTCCTCTCACCCGAGCTGCGGAGCTGCAAGGGTGATACCGTTGTCACCTCCGGTTGATGGATGGGGAAGCTGAGGCTTGCAGAGCTTCAGGCGGAGGCCCCGCGGCTGCCTGCCTGCCGTGTGTGGCGGCACCGGGCGCAGCCTTCACCCTGAGAGCATTGCTCACGTGCTTCGTCACCAGGCGCCGCTGCCAGTTGGTGATTGCCTCAGGCCCACGGGCCTGTGTGGGCTCTCTGTTCTGCTTCTTTGCCCTTTTATGTCCTTTCCAAATTCTTTGTGATAAGTGTAGAGGGCTTTGATTATCAAGGGAGGGGAGTGAAAAAAGCTGAAGGGACAATAAATAAATGGGAAGAGTCAGCGGCGCGTGAGCTCAGCCCTGTCATTTTGTCTGGACATCCTGCCAGCCCCCGTCAGTGGAGCTGCAGCCCCACAGAGCCTGTGGCTGTGTCCCTGAGTGACTGAGCAGACTGCTCAACAGCCACGGGGAACAGTTATCCCGTGAAGGCTACGGACAGGAGCAGGAGGGAGCGGAAGGCTCTTGGGTGGTTCATGTGCAGTACAATTTTAAAAACATACGACTTACTATCTGTGGTGATCTGGGGAAGGATTTTCGTATTTTACTGAAGTAGTTTCTTTTCTCCATAGACAACAGAGGATGTTTATGAAGTCTCATGCATTTATTAGTGACCTTGGCCCCCCAAAATAGAAATTTTTTCAAGGCATCTTGTGTATTGTGAAACAGGGATTCTCTTTTCATAATAAAAAATTAAGTCCATGTTCATCAAATGAGAATCAAGAAAGAAATAATCCATTGTTTTCTACTTGCAGAAAAATTAGGCACTATGTGTCCATTATCCGCGTGTGCAATGGAAACAGTAAGGTAGGTAAAAGGGTATCCGGGCTGGGGCTACCCCAGGGAGGTTAGCTGGCCATCAGAACTAACGGCTTTTAACGTCCATTTTTAGGTTGAGAAAATACCCGAATGTGTTCAGTCTGACAGTCACACAGGTATGGTGTCCCTATTCCTTCTTAGCATTTGTTAAGCTTTTGGAAAACAAATTGAAAGCAAATCCTTCCTGTAATAAGCCTCCTGGTGCCATGGTGGGACCCCACTCCCCTAGTGCTATGGCAACCCCAAGTTACTCAAGCAGTCAAGGAACAAGTGCTTGGGGTGTTCCAGCAGGTGCCCTGCAGGAGCTGCAGCCCCGAGGAGAGAACTGTGGAGTACGGGGCTTGCCTCCTGTGCAGACGTGTTGAGTGCAGGTGGCTCTACAGCCTGATCTGTGCTGTAAGGGGCAAGCACCCAAGTGCTCTCACAGGGACTGTCACCACAGGTAGCATGTGAGGAGCTGGGCTCATCAGGTCTCCTTCATCTCCTGTCTCCACAGTGCCTTACTCCACATCTGTGTTGCTGCAAGATTCATTTCCCTGGCCCATTTCCTCTAAACTGTGGCCCCAGCAAGCCACTTCCTGCTCTGGCCCTCACTGCTGAGGGGGATGGGGTGATGGCAGAGGGCTTCTCATCAGGTGCCCGGTAGACACCCTGTGCCACCCTACATTCCCAGGCACTGTACCATCTGTGAGAGCCTCTGGGAAGGGTTGTCTTCTGTCCCTGTACCAGGACAGCTTGTTCATTCTGGGAATGTTGTGTGTGGGGTGGGAGGTACTGAGGATCGAACCTAGGGCCTTCACACTGAACTACATTCCCACCCCTTTTTAAATTTTGAAACAAGACCTTGCTAAGCCACTAAGTTGCCAAGACTGGATTCAAATTTGAGATCCTCCTGCCTCAGAATACTGGGGTTATAGGTGTATGCCACCACACCCAGCCATTCTGGGTGTATTTCTATTACAAAGTACTATAGTAAGTTACATATAGTTTATTTAACTGAGGCCCTGGAGGAAGCCAAGGAGGTAGGGATTTAATAGATGAAGTAAGAAACTGCCTGACCAAGGAACTTGCCCAAGGTTGTGCTTGGGGTGTTCCAGCAGGTGCCCTGCAGGGGCTGCAGCCGGAGGAGAGAACTGTGGAGTACGGGGCTTGCCTGCTGTGCAGACGTGTTGAACCAGCATCCACAGTGGTTCACTTTAGCGCACCGAAGCACAGGCAGGGACGGTTCTCAAGAAGCCTCAGGGGCGACACAGGGATGATGAGAAAGGCCTGGTGGGGCTGTGGGACTCATAGGAAGGGGGATGCTCCGCACAAGAGAGGTGGATTTGGATGGGAAGAAGAGTGTGGAAGCAGGAGCATTCCAGCAGTCCAAACAGGCACAATGGAGGGAAAAGTGCAGGCTGTGTTCTAGAAAGAGCAAGTATTAAATGTAGCACGGTAGAAAGGGGAGTGGGGAAGAGGAGTTGGGTGAGTCGCGCTCCTTAGATGCTGGGTAGGAAGTGAGGCTGTTCGCCTCCAGGCAGTGGAGTCCTTGGATTCTGAGGCGGGGAAGCACACTCAGACTATCTGAGTGGAAAGGTCTGCGGCCAAGATGCTCTTAGAATGTGTCCCATCACAGGTACCGTAGAAAGTGGGTCAGCCTTGCGGTTGGGAGGAGAGAAAACCCTGGCAAAGGTTAATAAGCTGGAGACAGCAGCAGGAACTGAGAGGACAGCGAGATGTGCTGATGGTGTGAAGCTGGGGAGGAGTCGGCAGGTGTTTGGAGCTGGAGACAGGGTGTGGAGTGGAGTGGACCATATGTCTGTCTGCCCGTTTGCTCCACCACAGCACAGGTTTCTGCTGAGCACTGACTGGGCAGTAGTTCCTGTGCTCTGCAAAGAGATAAGAACTAACAATACAGATGATTTTGCAAACTTCCCAGATGTGGAACTGATGAGCTGGTGCCCAGGTAGAAAGGGAAGCAGAACCTCCAAAGTTACATGAGAGGAGCATGGCAGGCCCAGGAACAGAGGGAGGACCAGATTCCTGGAGGCCACCCCAGGGGGAGTGCAGACTAGAGCTGGAGAGACTTGGGCTGCACAATTACTTTTATTTATTTATTTATTTATTTTGGCTTTCATGAGACAGGGTCTCTAGGTAGTTTAGGTTGGCCTTAAACTTACGACAATCCTGCCTCAGCCTCCGAGTTCTGGGATTACAGATGTGCACCCTCATGCCTGGCTTGGGTTCACACTCAGATGTTTCCATAGGGGCTGGGCATGGTGGCACATGTGTATAGTCTCGGTACTCTGGGTGGTTGAAGCAGAAGAATGGCAAGTTCAAGCCTTTCCTGGGCAATACAGCAACTTAGTGAGGCCCATCTTGAAATTTAAAGAGGGCTGAGGATATGGTTATTCAGTGATGTAATCCTGGGTAGCACCAAATAATAATAATAATAATAGTAACAACAATATGAAAATTTTTAAAAGATAAAAAGGAAAAGAGACTGGACATGTAGCTCAGTGCAGGGACAGTACCATTAAAAAAACGTTCAGTAGAAACTCAGTTTGCTTCCTCTCCTTCCACTGTTGCCCAGCCCATTCTTGGTAAGCATTGCTTTTTGCTTCTCTCTTGCCACACCCTGCTCCATCTAAATAAGCTTCTTCCTCCTTCCTTGTGGTCACACTACAAGCTCTACCTTAGCTACCAGCCCCAGGGGACTTTGCCACTCCTCTGGGCTCCTGCTGCACCTCAGAACCACTAGGGAGTCTTCCCTGCCCTTGTTCCTCATAAATCTGCTCCCCATCCTGGGCATGTGGACGGCACATTATTCATCTTCACATCCCTAATGTCAGTGTGCTCATCAGCTTCCTGTCACTAACAAAATACCTGAGATAATTAACTCCTACAGAAAAGGAGTTTTGTATGGCTCACAATTTTAGAGGCATCAGTCCGTGGAAGACTGGCCCTGTTTCTTTCTGGCCATGGACAGGAAACATGGCAGGGTTGTGATAGGGCAGCACTGCTCCTTCCACCAAGCCCTGCCTCCTTAAGACTCCACCACCCCAGGGTCCAAGCCTTTACTTTACTACATGGGCCTTTGGGGAATGCTCAGGATCCAAACTCTTGTACCAGTCTTGGCTGGCATGGGGTAGGTGCCCAGTGAATGCTAAATAGAGCAGCAGGAGCAATGTACAGTTCACAGTGATCTCACCAGGCAGCTGAGTGGATAGTACTGGCCCAGAGCTCAGAGAAGGGAGAGACACTGCGTCTCCATGGGAATGGGAGGCAGTGCCCTGCATGGGGAGCATCTTGAGTTTGGCAGTCATTGGGGGCAGGAGGAGTGGATGGCAAGGCTGCTCCAGGAATGGGCAAAGCAGCCACAGCACACACTGGGAAAAGACTGAGGAGAGAGGAGGGCTGCTATGCAGCTATGATGTACCTGTCCTCAAATGCCAGGAAGTTACTCTTCTGTCTGAGACCCCAGAGGATGTTGGGCAGGCGCAGATGTTTGCTGAAGCAGACTTAGGTTCCTTGAGCACTGACTGCCTGCAACATACAGTACTGGTCACCTGGGGAAGACCATCTCTGACAGTGCACTGTCCGCTGTCACCCCACATGGCTGGGGTGGTATGGAGGCTGTAAAGGGACAGTGTTTTCAGGCCTGTGGTCCCTGCATGATCATAGGACATCAGTGGCTAGATGAGGAAGCTGGCAGGGGAGAGTGGGTGTCACACAAGGTGCAGAGGCCAGGATAAGAGACTGGCTCTTTGTAAAGTCCTTGTGATGGCCAGTGGCACACTGAAGAGCTGGAAGCAGATCCTAAAGACAAAGGAGCTGATGGGCTGTAGATGGACCTGATTGGTGGAGGGGTCATGGCTGGGGCTGCTGTTCCTCTCTGGAGAGGAGAATGCAGGTCATTGAGAAGGACTAGCATTGGGTCTAGGAGAGCAAATCCATGGACTTGGCTGGCCAGCTGAGGGAGAGAAGCAAAAAAGATAGGTGCTGTTCAGTGACCTGGACTAAAAAGCAGCTTTGGGAAAAACCAGGTTCATTTAGGAAAATGAGTCCATTTGCAGGGTCCACAAATTATCCCCTGGAGGTGACCAACACTGCATAGACAGGGGTGTGGACATGGAAGAGGACTGAGGTGAGGTGGCCACACGAACTAGTTAGAGGTGTGGGAGGAAGGAGGCCTTGGAAGGATGTTGTGCTGACTGAGAAAAAGGGGATGAAGGACAAAACGAGGGAATCTAGGCCCTGGAAACACTGAGGGCGTGGGGGCTGACGAAGAGGAAGCTGCAAAGGAAGTGAGGAAGGGATAGCAAGGAGAGGGAGGTCGCGAGGGTGGGTTCTGCAGGCCAGGGTGTCCGGGAGGCCGGCCTGGCTGGGTCTCGGGAGGTCATGTGACCTTGACACAGGTCCTCGGGCAGAGGAGGCCACCTGGTGAGGCTGCCAGGGGACCCTAGAGAGAGCCAGTGGCGTGTTCACCCTGCCCCACACCTACCCGCAGGTTGGTGTCATTTCCTCTGCTGTGAGATGGGGACGTGAGGCACACCACAGGGGACACCCAGCTGTGCCCAGAGAGGGGCAGGAAGCCTAGGAGAGCAGCACCTGCGCAGAGAGAGGGGAGGCAGGCTCAGCTGTCTCTGAAACACACCCCAAAAGCATTCCCGCACCACCCTAAGAAGAGGAAGTTGTTCTCCCTGGGATTTTATAGAGAAAAAAAAAATTTTTTTTTGCCCTTGGGGCAAAGATGGATGAGGGATTAAAATCTCCACCATTTTGTTCCATGAGACAGTCACCCCTCCAGACCGAGTCATTCAGTCTGCACTTCTGTGTGCTCTGCTGAATTTGCTTGTTCTAGTTCTTAAATTTGGAGTTTAAAACCACTTTGTTTGGTTTCCTTTATCAGTATGTCTTTAATATCTCTGTTTGTTTACACAGATATTCAGACAGGCAAGCATAAAGACAGAAGGAAAGGCTCATTGGATGTCAGATCTGTTTCCTCAAAAGCAAATGAAGGTGAGTGACCAGGACCAGAGAAGAGAAGGGCTAGTGGCCGGGCTGAACACAGGACTGTCTTGCCCTCCAGTTTCTCTCTGGTCACATTTCCCGTTCTGGGGAGGGGAGAGACCCAAGAGCCCCGTGGGCCCTCTCCTGAAGCCAGAAATAAGGAAAAAGAAGAGATATTTATGACCCCTGTCATCCGTATTGACTTTCTAAAATGAGCAGCAGGGGTCATCAGTCTACACACAGTATCCCAGAAGCGCACTTGAAATTTTGAAAGATACACTGCATTGTGGCTTGCAGTTTGCTGTGGAAGCTGCAGCTTTTGAGAAGGGGTGAGCTCAATTTGGGAACTGTGAGACACTCATTAAGCAAATATTTGTTTACTGGAAACATAATTGTAAAAGATAATGTAGGTTTATGGTATAAGGAACCTAGTTTTTAATGTAATCAAAACTGTCTCTAGAGGGTGCAGAGGCAGATAATGCTGCCTGCTTTGAGCACTCTCTGGTCCAAAGATGGATGCATAGGAAGGATGCAGAGCTGGTGTCATGGCTCAGTGGGAAGCTAAACTTTTTAAGGCAGTCTTAGCCAGGTCACATCTGCCTGATGTCCCTGGCATGTATGGGGAAGGCTCAGATGGTGCGCTGCATGGCAAGAACTGGGCTGCTGCTGGAGAGTGGGGGTGTCAGCAGGGCCGCGGTTCAGCAGAACAGCCTTGGCTCGTCCAGGTGTCGTCTCCTCTTTGTGGGCATGTGTCTCCTGTTGTCATGTCTACTTAATAGGGCTAACTGTGCTGCCCAGAAGACCACATGAGGGTGACATGGGCCCACGGTGCTGGGACAGGGTAGGCGTGCCTTAGTGTCTGCTGCCAGGTCCTCTCGCTTGGGGTGGTCATCCTTATGTTTCCACAATCCATGGCTCAGGGCAGTGTGGAATGGAGTGAAGCTGCTTTTACCCTGAAGTTACCCCACTGCAGCTTCCACTAACTCCTTGGATTCCTATATACCTTTCGGTATTTTAAACTTTTTTCTGTTGTGTTTTAAAAAATAACTTACAAAAATTGAGTTATACACAGTAAAATTTAGCTATCAAATATTCGATTCAATACATTTTGATAATTCTATACTCCTGTAACTGCTCCCTCCCACAGCAGACACAGAGTGCACACATGTACACACACACATCCTTTTACCACACAAGACAAACCATGATTTACTTACTGTGCGTTGTGCAATTGGAGTCATTCTATATGCACTCATGTATTAGACATCTTTTACTACTTTTTCCCCTTGGTTTATGAGACAACGGTCTCACTGTGTAGTCCAGGGTGGCCTCCAAGTCACAGCATTTCTCCTGCCTCAGTCTCCCTAGGGCTGGAGTTACAGGCATGCACTACCACGCCTGGCTTCTTTCACTCGTGTTGGTGTTTTAGATTCACTGATATTGCTAGGCATATCTGTAGTGCATCCCTTTGTTAATATTGCTCAGTGATAGTCCCGACTGAGTGTATAGTTTGTCTGCTTGTCCACTTATTGATGGGCATTTGTGTGGCTTCCACTTGAGACTGTTCAGAGTAAGGCTCCATGTGTTTACACAGATGAGTTTTGGTGAACATGGGTGTACATCTCCCACCCAGGAGTACAAGGCAGACAGTTTAGTGAGGGTCATGCTGTGTGACTGTCACTAAACTATGGAAATACTGGCATTTAAAATTTTAGCCATTATAGTGATTTCAGTTTTAATTTTCTTTATAACTAATGAGATTGAGCACCTTTACATATGCTCGCTGCCTTTTGACATGTCTTCATTTGTGAGGTTCTGTTAAGACTTTTGACTACTTTTAGAATTTGGTGCTTTTTCCTGTTTTTAAGGGTTTTTTTTTTAACATATTCTAGATATCTAGATATTGGCTATCTATTGGATAGCTATATATATATGGTTTTTTTTTTTTTTTTTTGAGACTGGGTTTCATTCTGTAGTTCAGGCTGGCCTCAAACTCTCTCCATCCCAAGGTCATGAAGGTATTCGTCTATATTTTCTTTTTTTTTTTAATAATTTTTTTTTATTTTAAAGAGATTAAGATAAAGGATATAACAAAGCAGATCAGAACAAAACAATTTAAGCAACATAGTATTTCACCACAAGACAACCCGATAAAACAGTAGGTACCATAATGTCTCTTTCCTTGAAATAGTTGAGCATAACTTCATACACAATAGTGTCATACGTAATAAAATAATATAAAACCATTAAAGAGAATGAAAGTATTACAGGGCATTCAGAACCAAATAACAGAAAACGAACAGTGGTTACTGTATTATCTCATTGTCCATAAAAATTTGTTTATACTACCACACATAATAAGATCCAACAAGATACAACATGATAGAAACCAGTAGAAACAGAAGAACAAAAGTATGGTAGGACTTCAAAACAAGATGATATTAAATCAACACTGGCTATTATAATGTCTTGTTTTCTTCAAAATAGTTGTTCATACTATCACAGATACTAAAACCAAACAACCCAGGATAAAACCATTCTGACTAATGAATGGAAGCATTATAAGGCTTCAAAGCAATGTAATGGGGAATCATGATTACCATAAACTTTTATGTACTCTTACCATCTCTTACACTAGGGAGACTATAAGGTATTTATACATGTGAGTTTGATTTATTTCACTTATAAGTATGGTTTCAAGTTGCATCCATTTATTTATTAATATCTCAATGTAATCATTCTTTATACATTTTCTTCTAAAGTTTTATTTTGCATTTAAAATGGATGCTCCACCATATATTTCACCATGCAGCAAACTGTTACCAAAATGTACAAGAGATCTAAATATTAAAACAGAAATACTTAGTCTGCTGGAAGATGAAATAGTTAAAAGCCTTTAAGACATTGGCATAGACAAGGACTTTCTGAACAGAACTCCGTGGCACAAGAAATAATATCAAGAATCAACAAATGGAATCATATCATATTAAAAAACTTCTGCAAAACAAAGGAAACAGCTAACAGGAAGAAAAACTATAGAGTGGGCAAATATTTTTGACAGGCATTCTGCGTCTAGACTAACATCAAGAATATATAAAGAACTCCAAAATAAAATTAGACCTCCAAATAAAAGACCCAATGAAAAATGGGCAACCAAACTAGACCTTCTGAGAAGTACAAATGGCCAATAAATGAAAAAATGCCTATCAGGGAAATGCAAATCAAAATGTACTGAATTACTGTCTTACCCCAGAAAGAATGGCTACCATATGAAATCTATTAATAACAAATACTGGCTGGTGAGGATATGGAGAAAAAGGAACTCTTCTACATTGTTGGTGGGAATGTAAACTAGGACAACCACTATGGAAATCAGTGTAGAGATTCCTCAAAAAACTAAAACTAGGGCCAGGGATATGACTCAGCGGTACAAGCCGCCTGCCTGACAAGCACAAGGTCCTGAGTCAGATTCACAGTACAAAAAAAAAGTAGAACTAGAGATTCCATTGACCCAGGTATTCTGTAGGTATTTTCCCCAAAGGATCATATTACAGGAATCCTTGCACACCTAATGTTTATAGCAGCACAGTTCATAGTAGCTAAATCTTGGAAGCAGCAAATGGATAAAGAAAACATGGTGCTGTACATAATGGAGCGCTGCTTTGTCATAAGGAAGGATAAGCTGGAATCATTTTAGGAAGACAAATGGTCCTGACACCATAACATTAAGTGAAATAAATCAGACACACAAGCTTAAATACTGCATGGTCCCTCCTGTATGAGAAACACAAAATGTAAATAGAGAGCAAAATAAAGATACAAAAAGTAGAGCATGCTTCAAATGAGAAGCTCACGTGTAATTTCTGTGCAGCCCTGTAATCCCAGCACTCCGGAGGCTGAAGCAGCAGGATCATTGAGAGCTCAAGACTAGTCTGGGCTACAAAGTGAGTTCAAGGCCAGCCTGAATTGAATAGTGAAAGCCTGTCTTACAAAGGGGGAAAAAGAAAGTTCAAGAGCTAGAAGGGGAGGGGAGGAAGAGGAAAGAGTGGAGATGTGTTGTGTCCACGCAAGGAGTGAAATCATTGTGTAATGCAAGCTTGTACTGATAAACAATCTATAAAATATTCATGCTCCCATTTCAAATTAACTTTTATATCATTGAGGGTCAGTAGAGATCAAAGGCGAATTCCCTCTCCTATTCCCTTGTAAATCCAAAGGAGGCATTGCCATATAGAGAAAGTGTTTTTGCAGAGCAGTGTAGTTTTAGCTAGGTGCCTGGGAGCCTGCAGTCTGTTCCTGGACTGTTCTGCTCCACCCTTCTGCTTGTCTAGGCTCACGGTGACCTTGTAGTATGTCTTGCTATCTGGCAGTGTATGCTTGTTCTTCAGTTCTTGACTATTTCAGGTCTTTTTGGATTTCCATATAGCATTTAGAACCAGCTTAGTCACACATCCTCCTGGGATTTTTCTTTTTTGGAAGGGAGTCATTCCTTCTATCTATAGATCAGTTTTCAGATTATAAAAATCTTAATACTGAGCTTGTTGAGCTTTGAAGATGCTATATCTCCATTTATTTAGGTCTTTCTGTTTTCTCTCAGCAGTGTTCTACATTTTCATTGTAGAAATCTTACAAATCTTATATTAGATTGATCAATTGATTGAGACAGAATTTTGCTATGTAGTGCAGGCTGGCCTTGAATGCATATGTAGCGCAAACTGTCTTTGAACTCATAGAGATCCTGAGATTATAGGCATGTGCCACCATATCTGGGACTTATTCTTATATAGTGATATATTTTTATGCTATTACAATGATATTTATTTTAACTTCCAATTGTTTGTTGTGTTATATAGAAATAGTGACTTTTGAGCTTGTACCCACCCTTGGTAAATTCAGCTATTAGGAAAGCATTGGTAGATTCTTTGGGACTATCTGTATGCATAACCATGACAAGCTTTATACCTATTGTTTCTTTTTTTTGCCTTGTTGAGCTTACAGTATGATTTTGTTTTTTTTTTCCACTGGTACCAGGGATCTAAGTCACGACCACGCGCTTGCAAGGCAGGCGCTTATGCCACTGAGCTAAATCCCCAGCCCTACAGTATGATTTTTTTGCAATTATTTTAAAAATAAAATTTTCCATGTATGTATTTTAGTTGAAAAATACAACTTGTATATATTTATCCTATATAACATGTTTTAAAATATGTACAGTTGTGAAATGACTAAATTAAGCTGATGAACATGTATTGCGTCCCATTTTTACCTTTGTTTTTATGGTGAGAAAATTAAAATTTGCTCTTAGCAGTTTTCAGTAGCATTAGAGTGTCAGTAGCATTAGATGTTGTGCAGATCTGTGTTGTTTGACTTTTAGAAGCAATTGTGATCTTCATTATTTTTTAAACAAGTTTTTATGATAATAAATAGTGATTCTTTTTGATTCATTGAGCTTGTTATGTATAATGGAAAGCTGATAACTACACGCCAGTTGCCATGATTTAAGAAGTTTTCTTGGGGCTGGAGGTTTAGCTCAGCGGCATAAGCGCCTGCCTTGGAAGCAGGCAATCGTGAGTTCGATCCCCAGTACCGATTAAAAAAAAAGTTTTCTTGGCTCCCAGATTATAGACCACTTGAGACCCCTGGCTTGGTTCCATGGGGACAGTATCCTGCCTTGGTTTCTCTGGTGACATTAGGCTTACCCATCAATCTACAGAGCAGGTTTCTGACTCTTCAGGCCCTTGTTGAGCCGTGCTGTTTGATGGTGGGATTCCCTCAACACCCAGGCTTCCCTCTCGGAGTAAGCGTGAGACACCAAAAATTAACTCACTTAGAGCCTCAGCTTCTGCTTGGCTCGTTTCAGATGTTTAATCAGCTTGGATTAAGCTGAATGGTGAGAAGCACCCACGGGGACTTTGAAAAATGTAGCCAACATTCATGTATTTCAGTTCATGTTGAGATGAATTTATTGTCCCTGCCGTATATGAACAAAGAACCCATGGGACATTGTTTTTCCAGAATGGTTTTAGTCCTGGAGAGCAGCAAGTGAATAATTATAAGGCCTTATTGTTACAGCACAAACAGAGACTGTTTGGCCTTGACTCGCTAGATTGTCTCCTATTTTCTTTCTGGCCTGTGACATCAGAAGTTCAGTCCAAGGGGACAAGTGCATCCTAGTGCCTAGGACAGCAGGAAACAAAGTCATTAGCCAGGAGCCCCTGCATTTCCATGGGAAGGAAGTGCTGTGGCCGGGCAGTCCTGGTCCCAGCTCTGGGCAGCTGAGCACATAGGCCTGGGAGGAAGAGAAATCACATGCCTTTGGTGGTCAGGACCCATGCCCAGAGTTGTGTATACCCTGATTTCTGGCTCCTCTCTCCATAGTTTCCAGCCAGAGACGACACTCCTCCATGGCTCGGATCCATTCCATGACCATCGAGGCACCCATCACCAAGGTGAAGCCGTGGGTAGTTGTTCTCCATCGCACATAACCCTGGGGGTTGGGAAGCTGCTGTCACAGGTGGATGGTGCTGCCTATCCTGGAGAGGGAATGTGTGACAAGCAAGCTTAAGCTCCACTTAGCACAGTGGCACTCTTAAGCACTCCTGCTGCCCTCCCGTGGCTTCTGAGGATTTGTTCTGTGCTGCAGGTGATGAACATCATCAACACTGCCCAGGAGAGCAGCCCTGTGCCAGTGACAGAGGCCTTGGACCGCGTGCTGCAGATTCTCAGGTCCACTGAGCTGTACTCACCACAGTTCGGTGCCAAGGACGATGACCCTCATGCCAATGACCTTGTTGGGGGCTTAGTGTCTGTAAGTTTATCTGAGCAGACCTCTGGTGAGAGTCCATCTGTTCTTACTTGTTTTCTCTGGGGTTCTTTGCTGAACAGAGATCTCTGGCTGAGCTGTAATCTACCTGTTCCCCACCACCTGGGAACCTCAGCCTGGGCAGCAAGGGAGGACTGTGTGTAGAAAGTCGTCTGCTCCAGTGATTCACTGGCACTTAGGGCTTTAGAAGTAATTTGTTGATATAAAACTTTCTCAGCTAGGTGTGGAGTCACGTGCTTATAATTCTAACACTGGGGAGAATCACAGTTCAGGGCCCACCCAGGCTACATAGTAAGTTCAAAGCCAGTCTGAACTATATAGTGAGTCCCTTACAAACAAACCAAAAAAGCCCCTTTCTTAGTTGTATTAAATATTTGGCCCCCTCTCCCAGTATTGGGAATCAAACTCAGGACCTTGTGCTTGCCAGGCAGATGGTGTATGACTGAGCTAGATCCCCGGCCTGTATTAAATATTTTGAAAACTAAGGCAAGAGGAAAGCCGTACTGAATGACACATACCAAATTGCAAAACAGACACCTTCTGCTACATGTATTTAAAAAGACACTAAGGAGAGAGATGTGGGTCACATACAAATCACAGAAAAGAAGGCTGTAGGCAGTGGTGACCAGCAAAGGGCCTCATATGTGGTCCCCTGAGAGGACCTGGATGCCTCCCTAGCCCATCTGGAGCAGAGCTCACAAAGAAACAGATTACCCCATTGCTGTCTGTCAGCTTGTTTCCTTCTAGGAACAAAATTCTTCCTCCTGGATCCTGCATGAAGTCACTTGATTGCAAAAGCGAAGGTGTTAGGTAGCAGTCTGAAAGGTAGTGACTCCCAGCAGTGACCTCCCACTGTGACCTTGCTGTCTGGGACTGCCTATAATGGTGGGCCAGGCAGTGTCCTGGAGGTCAGTAGATAAGAGCAGCCATGGGCGGGGCTAGAAGGCCGGGTAGAAGGGCTGTGGGGAAACTGAGGTCACTTAGAAGATGAGAAAGAATCCAGGGTTCCCAAGGAAGCTAAATGATACAGGCGAAATATAACTCCAAACCTGCTCGATGCCCGATGTATCCAGTTCATGTCCCCTAAAATTGAACCATGTTCTTCATGATTTCCTTTCCTTCCCTTCCCCCTTTCTTTCCCCTCCCCTCCCTCTCCCCTCCTCTCCCCTCCCCTCCTCTCTCCTCTCCTCTCCTCTTTTTCCCCCTTTACTTTTTCCTTTCCTTTTTTCTTTCCTTTCCTTCCACCAGGCAGGCACTTATGCCACTGAGCTATATTCCTGACCCTCTGCTGAGTGTTTAAGACCAAATTAAAGTGAGACCTGAGTTACTCAAAATTAACCTTTTGCTATCTATTAAGTTCATTAAGTCTCCTCAGGCATTAGTGGAACCATGTACAGAGCCTCTCAGCTCCTGTGTCAGTGTCACCTGCTAGCATGGGTCATGGTCTTGTTTCTGTAGCTTCCTATGGAAGTATAAAAGATATTTCTCTCTCTGTGGTTACCCTTCTTTTTGGCACATTGTGTATTGGCTGACTCCTGCTCTCTGGGGTCAGAAGTCTCCCTGTCAGGAAGTTGAGTGACTCATCAAAGTTGTATAAAAGATTGCCTCATCTCTTGGAGGTTCAGGGCCTAAATATTGGCTGCTCTCTAGTTTCCAAACTTCCAGGTATTGAACACCTAGAAGAGAAGATCAGTTACAACAGTATTGCAGTGGGAGCAGAATAGACAGCAAGTTATGTATAGTCATACTTTTGAAAGAGATAAAGAAAATGAGGTTAGGCCACATGTGCAGCCTGCCCAAACCAGGTTGGAACTGCCCAAGGAAGCAGCTCTGCCCTGCTTTCTGCACTAGTCAGCTATCCCTGCTTGTCACGTAGCAAGACTCATGTCTGGTGTCAGCCTCAGAAATGAGAGTTGCAGCCTTTGAAAGCACCAGTTAGACTCGGGAGAAGATGTGGCACTGGGAAGGAGTGCGTGGTGATCTGAGGGTGGGAGCCACAGCCTTGAGCAGCAAGGCGGTCTTAGGAGAGACAGCTTGGGTTCAGCCAAAGCAACAAACACAAGCTCAAAATAACCAAACATTCCTATTTCTTTCTATAAACTGTGTCCTCCACAAACTTTTCTTGACGTACTTGAACCTTCCAGTTTTGCCACTAGTGCTCCTTTCTTTCTGACAGGGCAAACATTTAATCATACAAAAATCATGGGCCAGGGGTTTAGCTCAGCAGCATAAGCATCTGCTAGGCAAATGTGAGGTCATGAGTTCGATCCCTGGTACCCCCCTCAATGTTCTCACATCAAAAATTACATTAAGCTTTCCCCATATTCTCTTATTTATCTTTCTTAGTCTGATCTTTCCTTAACTGCTTGGCTATGGCCATTTTGGTGAGGGGAGTTGGCAAGAACATCATGGGAAATGACCAAGGGCGGAGGGCATTGTCCTCAAGACTCCACTGTGGTCCTGCAGCAAGACAGGAGTGCTGAGCATTAGGCAAGAGGCTCCCTAGTGTGAACACATCAGGGTGCTGAGCTATGCAGGAAGTGACCAGGCCCAGGCCAGCCACAGGGTGAATGTGGGGACCTGCTGAGCTGGGCTGCCTTGCAGAGGCTGGGGAGGTGGGGTACACTGGGCCAGCCACTTGGAGTTCCATGGAGGAAAGAATAGCAGTGACTTTGCTTTCTCTTGTTCTCTTTGGTTTTTATTAGGATGGTTTGCGGAGATTATCAGGGAATGAATATGTTCTTTCAACAAAAAGTAAGTTTTTTGTTTTGAGTTTTTTGGATCATTGTAATACTGTAGTCAAGGTTAAGTGATGAAAATAATTTCTCTTGTCAGTAAGAAGCTTCTCTGTGTGCCATAAAGTCTCAGAAACAAAGTGGCCCAAACAGTACTGCTGTTTCTGAGGAGCAGGTATAGCTATGTCACTTTACAAACCATGTCACTTTACAGCTCTCCATCAGGTTGCAGTCAGTGGAACCACCCCCATCTCCCTTCACGACATCCCGCCTCGGGTTGCTCAGGCCATGGAGAATGTAGAACACTGGGACTTTGATATTTTTGAACTGGAGGCTGCCACCCACAGTAGGTGAGTCTGGGAGCTCTGCAGATGGCGAGCTGGCCTCCAGGCTCCACGGGAGGCTGCCATTACAGAGCTGGTCCCTGGTCAGGGGGAAGGCTGAGGAAGGAGGTGCAGGTGATTGGGCAGAGTTTGCCTGGCCACCACGGGTGCAGCAGACTGATGGGGCATGCAAAAATGAGCAGGGGTTTATCCTGTGAGGTGGATGCTGATTCCTCCCAGGGTGGAGATATATTGAGACAGTGGTGAAGAGCCCCTCAGGGCCTGGAACCAAAATGCGTTAGAAACACACGTAGATGGGAATAGTCTGGTTGGGATGCTTCACCTCTCTTTTTGCATCATTTTTATACTGTGACTGTTTCTCTGTGTAGGCCACTGATTTATCTTGGTCTCAAAACGTTTGCTCGCTTCGGAATATGTGAATTTCTAAACTGCTCCGAGTCAACACTGAAATCCTGGTTCCAAATTATTGAAGCCAATTACCATTCTTCTAACCCCTACCACAATTCCACACATTCTGCCGACGTGCTCCACGCCACCGCCTACTTTCTGTCCAAGCAGAGGGTAAAGGTGAGCCCGTGCCACATTCCATGTCCAGGCTGGGCTTCCTGCCTCCCCTGAAGTATGGATCTGCTGTGGTTGAGACCACTTGGGGTGGCCACTTTGTATGGCCAGCACATGTGGTACAGTCACCCCAGAAAGCAGGCAGGAGGCCATACTGGAGCTCAAGATCATTGCATTGACTTCTGGACCTACTCCTAGCCCTTCCCTGGGACTTAGGAAGCACAATTGGGTCCTCAGGGGAGAAAACCAGGAGGGCTGCTTCCCTGGGGTCTCTCTGAACTTGTGGGCAAGCACAGGCACGCGCCTGCATGTCATCAGCAGCTCCCCTAAGCTTGGGTCAGAGCTGCCCTGTGCCCACACAGGGTTATCTCTGGAGCCCAAAGCTCCAGCTTGAGACCTAGAGACCTTTGCGGTTATCTGCTCCATAGACCCCGGTGTCTGGCTACTGTCTGGCTCACTTCCTGTCTGACTCATGTCCCTGTAAGTCTCTATGCTTGCTCACTGCTGCCAGTAAACTTTTTGGGGCAACTCTGTCTTCCACGGGGCTCACACTAAAGAACTCCCCTAGGTGGGGGTGCTGCCTCTCTATACTGGGGAATGCCTCTCCAGACTTCTCCTGAGGTAGGCATGGCTGCAGGACCACAGGGCAGGGCAAGTGTCCATGTGACAGGGCTTAGAACACAGTGAAAGGTGTCATGCAGCCCACAGGGGACTGAGCCAGGGTCCACCATCACCTGAGGGCCAGACCTTCTCAGAGTAGGGTCTTCACCTGCCCACTCCTTGTTCCCTCCTGTCCATTGGGAGTTGGTTGCTGGAGTCTTGGATGGAATCAGGCTTCGTGTACGCTAGGCAAACACTCAGCACCATGCACAGCGCAGCCCAGGGAGGACTGCTGCATAAGTGATACAGACCAGGGGCAGGGAGGGACATCTGTGTCCACATGAATCAGCATGTAGAGAGCTCCCAATTTTTGCTTTTATTGCTTTTTTATTCATGTTTTTAGTATATAATGATTATGTTCATCATAGGGAGTTGGTACATGTTTATTGCTTTTGAACTAGACACTTGTATATACTTATATTCAGTGCTAGCTTAAAATAAGCATTAAAGTATAGTTCGCATACAGTTTACCCTATGTAAGGTTAAAACTACTGACTTATAAGTCAAATTAACCTATAAAACTGATATATTGGACATATGCCTTCTTTTCAAAGTGCCTGTATTCTGTTTTCACATACAGTCTTATACGAGGATGTACTTTTGATAAACTTCAAAACTACATAGGCTATATCTTCTGATCACAAGAAAACTAGAATAACTGATGGTAAAATAAAAAGCACCGTCTGGGTGCAGTGTCACTTGACTCCAGTCCCAACTACACAGGAGACTGAGGCAGGAGAAACTGGGAAACTTAGTAAGACCTTCTCTCAAAAAATAAGGCTTGCAGGGCTGGGGATTTAGCTCAGCAGCATAAGCGCCTTCCTTGCAAGCAGGCAGTCGTGAGTTCGATCCCTGGTACCAAAAAAGACAAAAAAAAAAAAAAAAAAAAAAAAAAAAGGCTTGGGCAGTATTTACTGCTCAGTATGAAGGTCCTGGGTTCAGTCCTCATACTGAAGGCAGATAAATAGGCATAACTGATTGATTGCCACTACAAATGCAAAATATTTTGAATAAGTTTTGGATAAATAAAAAGTCACATAGAAAAGAAAATGCGAAACCCATTAATCAAACCTGTAAAATAAAGCCAGTGACCTATTTAATGTACAATGATATATTTAAATGCTTTCACTTCTTAAAGAGAAGAAAAAGAACATAGGAAACACAAATAATAATAATCAAAAAATGGTTCTTTGACATAACCAAGGCCAAAAAAAAAAAAGAACCAAGATAGAGTCCTGCATATAGCTCAGCAGCATAGCACCCACCTAGCAAACATGGTCTTGTGTTTGATTCTTGGTACCAAAAAAATACATTAATGAAATAAGACAGCGCTGTTCTACTCAAATTGAAAAATAAAAGAGAAAATACATATATTTAATATAGAAAATGATAAAAGTAAGTACTGTATTATCTACATTCAAAAACCTTAAAACAGGTGGTTTCTTTAGGGGGAAAATATTTTTCATCAAGACAATGTTTAAATTACCAGTTTCTTCAAAACCTGACTCCTGGCCCAGGTGGACAGGTAATCTTTGGCCATCGAGGGCCATTTTCCACGTTATGCAGACCTTTTTAGGACTGTGAAAGGAGATGAAAAACTTGCAGATCTTTTATTTCACTCTCAAACCCTGACCTTTGCCTAACAAAAGGCAGCACCTCCAGAGCAGGGGAAACTAGGCTGGTTGCCTGTTAATGCATATGTTTTAAAGGTTCTGTCTCTCTCAGTTAGTAATGGTCCACGTTCTCAGTCAGGAGGTTTATTTTGGTGACGGGACTGTGGAAAGACTGGCTGACGCAGTAATCTCCCTGTGTTTTGGTACCTGCTTTCCTTATTGTTCCCTAATAAAGCACGCAGAGACATCACTGCTTCAGAGTATGGACAGGAAAAGTTTTCTCATGAGTATGCTTTTCTTAGAAATCTGAGCTGCTCTGAGTTTCAAGTACAGTGGTGCTTCAGTTGACAAACTTCCATTTGTTCTGCAATTTGGGGAAAGACTGCCACATTTGTGTCTGTGTGGGAAGATGGACACAGTTAGGTTTATCACCCAGTGCAGTTCACAAACGAAAGTGGAGTTTTCCCAAATGCTTCTGTTTGTGAACCAGTGCCTCCCAGTACAGGCAGGAAAACTGCACAGGAGGCTTCCCTGCCTCGGTTCCACCCCTGTGTTAAAAGGTCTCTTGCTTTCAGGAAACTTTGGATCCCATTGATGAGGCCGCCGCGCTCATCGCAGCCACCATTCATGACGTGGATCACCCTGGGAGGACCAACTCCTTCCTGTGCAACGCAGGCAGCGAGCTGGCCCTGCTCTACAATGACCTGGCTGTGCTAGAGAGCCACCACGCGGCCCTGGCCTTCCAGCTGACCTTGGGTGATGACAGATGCAACATCTTTAAAAACATGGACAGGTAAGAGCAAGCCTGCCAGGGTGTGGGTCCCGTTGCTCTTTTGAACAGCTTTATTGGGACATAAGTTACACACCCAACACTTCTACTGTGTAGAGTGGACAGTGGCTTAGTCACAGCTGTACAGCCATCACCACACCAATTTTAGTTACCCTTCCACCAAAAAACCCCGAGGCACAGCCCTTCTCCATTCTCCCCATTCTTCCTGTCCTGGGCTGCCACCGCTCCACTTTCATTCAGGCCCACTTAGATCTGCCAGCTCTGGAGACTCAGTGTGAAGGGATGCGTATGTAGCTTGGTGGTCCTTTGTGACTCTGTCCTCCCAGCAGAGTCCTCAGGTGCAGGCCTTTGTATTTGACATCCCAGGGTATGAAGCACAAGCTGCATCTTGAGCTCAGAGAGACTTGAGACACAGCTGTCTCCAACACCTGCCCAAGCACTCCCTATCCATCCTCACCTAACCACTCTTAAAACACAGTTTATAAACTTTGTTTGAGGCTGGGGGGAGACAGTGGAGCTCAACAATGGGGCAACTGTCCAGCATGCACAAGACCCTGGGTTCCATCCCCAGCACCACAGACAACAAAGAAAAACAATGTTTAATGTCTGACTAGATTCTGAAGCTCTGCAGCTCTCAGGGCTTGTGTATCTGGGACTAGGGACCCAACCCAGGGCCTTCACACTGGGCTATATGCCAGCCTTTTTAATTTTCTGATCCCACGCTGGACTCAAACTTGTGATCCTCTTGCCTCAGACTTCCACAGTGCTGGGATTAGAGGTGTGCACCACCACTCCTGTACCCTGTGTGTAGCCCAGTGCCTGGCATAGAGCAGGTGCTTAGTGCGTGTCAGCAGAAGAGAGAAAAGGTGTGGTCATGATACTTAATTCAGATTTTAAGGAAGGTTCTAGATGAGATTTTTAAGGGGTATTCTGATTTCACAAAACTCCCTTCTGTTGTATCTAAGGATTTCAGAGATGGACTTAAATTTTATTCATACTTCTTAGAGATGCATAATTTTTCCCCGGAAGCAAAGAAGACTCCCTACTAACTTAGGTTGTCTCAGGAAAGGAACTGAATGACTTAGGGAACGAGTGGAGACTTTGCTTCATACTGTTTTGCACCTTTTGAGTCATGTGGATTTTGTTTAAAAAACAAAATTTTTGATGAATGTGATTATGTGTATCTAAAATGTACCAATAAAATCTAATTGAAAAAAAATAATTTTGGCCAACCACAGATTTCATAGGACAAACACCAAGTGACAGGGTGGACACTGTAGCTCTAAAGCTTGGCCCAGAGGCTTCTGACTGTAGTGTCCTCTTGCTGCCCGTCCAGGCACGGACCCATCACTTCCACGTTCTTTTAAAGTGCAGCTTCTAAGACTTAGACCTGTAGCTGCAGTGGCCGGCAGCCTTGAGAGCAGACGGTTTCCCGGGCTGGCTGGTCTAGCTCATAACCTGTAGCAGCCTCTCTTTTGTCATCTGCAACAGGAACGACTACCGGATACTGCGTCAGAGTATCATCGACATGGTCCTGGCCACAGAAATGACAAAGCACTTTGAGCACGTCAACAAGTTCATCAACAGTGTCAACAAGCCTTTGGCGGCACTGGAGGAAAACGAGGTAAGGGCCTTGTATCGGGCAACCACGACTGGGGCGTTCTCACCCTCGAGTGTGCAGAATGCAGGCATCCACACAGCCCCTCGCTCGGCTCAGCTGCACAGCTTGGGATGGGTCACGTGAGGGCCAGGGTCCTCATCCGTGAACTGACATCGTAATGCGAATGATGGTTCTTCCCATGTGTGACATGAGAATTTTATGTGTGCCAGTGAAGAAACAGTGACCAAAGTCCTTTGTATGTGAAAAACATTCGAGCAGTGTTGATACAGGGATGAACTAGGATTTCCAAATAAAATAAGGGAAGTATCACAACTCCCAGCCTGCTAGATGTCTGATAGGCTGAGTTTGTGTTCCCCAAACCAAAGAATGAATTCTAAGGACCAGAGAAAGTTGATAGTGTGAAATATTGAGGGGAAGAGATACCTCTCGTGAGAGACAAGAGGGGGCTCAGGTGGGTTGCCAAGGACCCCACTTTTAGGGAAGTTTTATAGAGCACAGCTACATGGGTACAATGTGGTTATAGCTATGATCAACCAAGGATACAGGTATAGCCACTTAGGCAATATTGATGCAGTGGGCAAGCAGGCCATGTATCAAGTGTACATGGAAAGAACAAAGAACTTTTCCAGGAAGGGGTAAGTCCAGGGTCTAGGTCACCAACTGATGTGACTGATGTCATTAGACCAAGTGATACTTCCTATCTTGGGCCTGGTCATAGATCTGGACTCCAGCAGGTGTGCCTCTGGCCACAGCTGTGATGAGCTTTCATCTTCTGCACAGACTCTCTCTGTCTCTGTCTGAGAGGCTGTTATATTCCTGCCTGACTCGGCCTTCTGGAATAGTGTGAGGAAACATCGCTTTATTTGCATGTGGGGAGTGAGCTCCCCAAACCACACCTGTCACTGGGCAGGACTATGAGAAACAGGAAACTGTGAACCACGCAAGGGCCCTTCTGTTGTAAGGACAGAAGAACCTTTGTGTGCAGCCCCTGCTCTTTTCTAGGAAATACAGTAAAGAGAGAAAACCAGTCTGAGTTCTCAGCAAGTGGAGGAAGAGGTAGCGGCACAGAATAGAAAGGGGAGGCGCTCAGCCACCCCTGTACCCCTCCCCTCAGGCAGAGCTGAGCCTCGTCCTTCCCAGTCCCAGGAGGACCCCCTAGGATTGCTTTCCATTCTGCTCCTTTTTCAGGAAACTAATAAGGATGAGGAAGCCATCCACGCCCTGCTCAGGGCCCCGGAGACCCGGACACTCATCAAGCGCATGCTCATCAAGTGTGCAGACATCTGCAACCCCTGCCGGCCGCTGCCGCAGTGCATCGAGTGGGCTGCGCGCATCTCTGAGGAGTATTTTTCTCAGGTCAGGTGCTGCCTCTTAAGCCCTTTCATACACAGAAACTTGAAGAGATAAAGCTCTTAAAACTAAAGAAATAGGATTCTGAAAGAAAATGGTCCGTGAAAATCATTTCTTGTATTGCACATTTCCTAATGGTGAATTCTGTTTGTTATGTTTATTTGTCTTCGCTCTTACAGGATATTGTTTGCTGGGTATAGAATCCTGGATTCACAGATTTCTCCTAAAAGAACTTTAAGGGAGTCATCTGTCCTTCATCTGCTGGGACAGAAAACAGTGTTAGAAAGATTTTCCTGAATTTAGTAAAACACATACAAAATGAGAAGCCCAGTGAGGGCTAACACGTATGAGTCAAGTCATAAGGAGCTCCAAGTTGAGGATAGAGAGGCAGTCTCAAAATCAGCCACAGAAAAATAACTTGTAAAAAAAATGACTCTGGTTTTCTGATTTCTCATTAGAAACTCTGAAGGCCAGAAGTCACTAAAACATCATCTTTCAACTGCTATTAGAAGAAATCTGTCAACCCAGAATGCTGTATCCACTGAAAATACCCTGTAAGGATCAAGGCAAATAAACACATTCTCAGACAAAGAAGAGCTAGCAGAATCTATTTGGTAATAGATAAACTTACAATACTAGAAATGCCAGCCTGAGTTCTTAGGGCTTAAAGGAACTGATCACAGGTGTGAGCTTGAATCTCCAAGAATGAATGAAATACACCAAAAATGGTAAATTTCTGCATAACTATAAAAACTTCTTTGTTCTCTAAATTTCTCTGAATACATAGTGGTATTTTAAGCAGAAGTTGTAGCATGGCGTTGTAGGTTGTATAATGCATGTACCTATAAATGACAGCCATGACATAAAGGAAAAAGAAGGAGAACAGACTTACATGTGATGTGAAATGTCAGTTATCTCGGCAGAGTCAAATGGGAAGGATGCATATTGTAATCCCTAGAGCAATCACTGTAGTTTAAAAGCTACTATATGTAGTACAATATAGTAAAATAATACGAAGAAGGCAGGAAAGTAAAATAATAAAATGGGAGCTCTAACCATGTCAGTTGACCAAAAACGCCCATTAAGAATGGATTTTTTTAAAAATCCCGACTATAAGATTGAAATAGCTGTCAGTGTCACACAGAGTAGACATCAAAACCCAAAAAGAAATTCCCAACAGACCCTTCATAATGATAAACGTACATGAGCCTAATATGAGGCCTGAAAATGAATGAAGCAAGTTTCACAGAGAGAAATAGACCATTCTATAATCTGAGATTTTAACACCTCCCTCCAAGAGCTGATGGAACCACCAGATTAAGGTATCAGTAAAGACACAGATGATTTGTACTTCACCATCAACTACCTCAGTTAACATTTACAGAATAGTCTTTAAATATGGATATACACTCATCAAGTTAGAACCTGTGCTGGCCCCCAAAAGACTTCAGGGAAATTGAAAAGGACTGAAATCAAATGGATATGTTCTTTAACCACAGCGCAATTAAATCAGAAAGCATTAACAAGATATCTAGAAAAATAGTGTATCTAGGGGCTAGGGATTTAGCTCAGCAGCATAAGCGCCTGCCTTGCAAGCAGGCAGTCGTGAGTTCGATCCCTGGTACCGATGAAAAGGAAAAAAACAAAAAAAAAAAAATACTGTACCAAATATTAGAAATTGAACACTATGCTTCTAAATAATCCAGGAGTCAAATATAAGGAAAATTAATAAAATGTCAGTTCAGTGCATTTAAAACAGCATTTAAAGGAAGGTTTATAATTTTATTTCATTAGAAAACAGGAATGCCTCAATGTTAGTGACTTAAGACTTCACCACAAGACACTGGAAAAAGAAAAATCCAAAGCAAGCAGAAAAAAGAGCAAAAAATGAGAAAATAGCCAGGCATGGTGATGTACTCCTGTAGTCCTGGCACTCAGGGCTGAGGCATGGAGGATCACCACAAGTTTGAGGCCAACGTGGGCTACACAGCGAGACCTTGTTTCAGAAGAAAAAAAAAAAGAACTAGAAAACAGTAAAAAACAGAGTCCAAAACTGATTCTTTGACAGAAATTGGTAATATACCTAGACTACTTGAGAAAGCGTAATGAGAAAGGAAAGGAGGTTTGCTGCAGACTTACAGATACTACAAGGCGAACGGGCTGAGGGTATGGCGCAGCGTACAGCACTGCCTCATACACCCCAAGGCTGGGTTCCATCGCCAGGACTGCAAAAATGGCGTCCCTAGGAGTAAAATTTAATACCACAAATCCGACAGCTTAAATGAGATGGACAAATTCCTTGAAAACTGTATTCACCAAACTGACAAGAGAAAAAATAACCTGAGTAAACCCATTTTGAAGAAGGACTAAGAAAGTAGGAAAGTTTTTCCTACAAAGAAAACTAAGCAAGGAAATAAATGCCAGTGTTACAAATTTTATCAGAAATTAGAGTGAGAACATTTTCCAACACACTTTATGAGACCATTCTTACCTTTTCACCAGGTAAGAGCCATGGCCTGTTACCCCCAGGAACGTAAACGCACAGTATGCAAAGGGGGAATCTGTCACCAGGCAGGGGGCTCTTCCAGGAAGGCAAACTTGATTTAATACAAATCTATTGCTCTAATTTGCAAATTAATTGAATATACATGAAAAATTACAAGATTATTTCTCACAGTACAGTAAAAGCCTATAACAAAATTCCATGTCCGTTCACCATACAAACTCTTAGCAAACTCGGATGGAAGGAAATTACTTTAGAAGGAGCACACTGCACGGTTGCCATTATGTATATTTCCTGGTAGTACTAAATACATTGTCCCCAGGCTGGAATAAGGAGCGTGGTCCCCCATTCCTAGCACTCACCAACACGGTGTCAGCATTGCCCGCACGAGCAGCGTGTGATCAAAGACAGAACTAGAAACACAGTCCTGTTTATAATAGTGATAGGAAGCAAAAATGACTTAGGAATAAATTTAATGAGTGACCAGACTGTTAGAGCAAAAATCACAAAATATTGCTAAAGATTTTTAAAAAACACTTGGGAAGGGGGCCATCTGCCACTGCTCCCCAGACTCAGGACCTCTCCATACTGTCAGACCTGGCAGGGATTTGGTTTGAGTTTTTTCGGAGAAACTGACAAACTTGGTCTGAATTGCAGTGGCTGCACCAAGGACTTTGTATAAGCAGAAGCAAAGTTGAAAAACAAAACACTGGAAGACCTTGCAGTAGCTGTCCTCAGAACTTAGTCATCGGGGTAGCGTATGCTACCAACAACATCTGTGGAGCAGAAGAGAACAGACCACATTTTAGGTCATACACATACAGTGGTGTCTTGGTTCACAGACCTAATGCTTTCCACAGTTCTGGTTGCAGACCGGATCAGATGAGAACCAAATCAAGTTCATGGCTAGGTTCAATGTTGACCTTGTGCGGAAATTCTGTTCCGCAGAATGCAAAAGCTAAAATTAGTGCTTTTAGAGAAAACTGCAGCAGAGTATTGTCAGTGACTTAAAAATGGACAGAGATCTCTTAGGTCCAGGAAACATTAGGTCTTAAAGAAAATTTAATAAGATATGCCTCATCAGATTTAAGTTATGCCCAGAGACAGCTAAAAGAACAAGAAAATATTTTAGTAATCATTTCACAAAAGATACTGTGGCCAGTAAACACTTGCAAAGAAGTTCCTTACATCTTGAGCTGTCAGGAAAATTCAAATTAAAAGCATGATGAAATGCCACCACGTGCCCAGCGAGACCGAACACACAAACCCAGGCACCACCACATGGTGAAGTTACAAAGCCACTGATGTCACATGTCAGCAGGCGCATGTAACCTGCTGCGACCACTGTAGGAAGCAGATTAGCAGACTTCTGTGTGTGGTGAAATTTACTATTTGAGATCATGTTTTGTTCTCTAAGTAAAGTGCATTACATTGATTTTTATATGCTAAACTGACCTTGCATTCCAGGAATAAATCCACCTGGTCATGGTGTAGAATCCTTTTAATGTGCTGAATCTGTGCTAATCTCTTGATGAGGGGTTTTGCATCAATATTCACAAGATATTTGGGCCCGTAGTTTTCTTGTAGTATCTTTGTCTCCTTTAATGCTGACCTCCAGAAGGAGCTAAGAAGTGTTCATTCTTGTCCAGTTTTTGAAGTGGTTTGAGGATTGAGGTTAATTTTCTGAGTGATGGGTAGGAACCACCCATGAGGCTGTCTGGCCTTGGGCCTGCCTTTTTGGGAGGTTTTGGTGACTGACCCAGACTCTGCCCAGTAGCCAAGGTTTGTCCAGCAGCAGGGGAAGCAGCCTAGCCTTTCCCTCTGTGCCTCCCTGGTCTGAGAGCCCAGGCTGGGGAGAGCCCAGGGCTGACTGCATTGCTCTGTGAGTCCTGAGGAGCCTCAGCGGCCCATGCAGCCTGGCTGGCTTCTAGTCACCAGCCCCACGGCTGCTGAAGGTGCCCTCTGGGGACGGGACCACTGCACAGCATGGCAGGGGCCAAGGTCTGGAGCAAGGTGTTTCCTGCTTTGCAGACGGAGGAGGAGAAGCAGAAGGAGCTGCCGGTGGTGATGGCGGTCTTTGACAGGAACACCTGCAGTATCCCCAAGTCCCAGATCTCTTTTATTGACTACTTCATCACAGACATGTTCGATGCCTGGGATGGTAAGGACCTCCCTGCACCGCTCCCTGGTGGTGACGGGAGCCGAGTGTTCCACAGCGAGCAGCACACTGCTTTTGGGGGTTTACACTGGCAAGGACAAGAAGAAAGGAGCAGCGAGGGCTGGGTGTCCCCTGCATCCCTCCACCCTGGTACCCGGCCCACACCTTTCCGCCTATCAGCAGGGAAGTGACCTGGGAGTCACAGGTTAGAAGCAGGGCTAGGCCTCAGCCAGCAGTGTTAACGCCAGCACCCCGTGTGCAGATAGTGTGCTGGCCTTAACGTCCCAGGGCGGGGGCCCGTGGGCAGAACGGGAGCCAGGAGCCAGCTCCTCCTCCCTGAGGTCAGGGCTGTGGACAGGACACAGCTGCCTGCTGCTCTGCCCTCCTGTGTTTTGCCCAGACATGGGGCTGGGGTGCAGCTCAGCGAGCACGCACTTGCCCACTGTGGCAAGGCCCGGGGTCCCGGCCTCGGCACCACAGAGGGAAGCCAGAGGCCGAGGCCAGTCGGCCGTGGCTGGGCGTGCTGTCACACCCCTTTCTCTCCTCCAGCCTTCGTGGGCCTGCCAGATTTAATGCAGCACCTTGACAACAACTTTAAATACTGGAAAGGCCTGGACGAAAGGAAGCTGCGGAGCCTCCGGCCCCCTCCTGAATAGTGTGGGCCACCTAGAGCCCTGCCACTTGGCCTGTCCACCTGGAGTTCGCGAGGGCAGCCACAGTTTGGTGCCACTTCCTAAATTCCAGAACTCTGAGACACATGGGGACATGAGTCGCCTTCTGTGGCCACCATCTGCCACCACTGAGTGAGCCTGGACCACAAGCGTGGCCTGCCTGCCGTGAGGGCTCCTCTGGAAAGAGTGGGCTTTGTGTCAGCCTTCTGCCCACAGCAGACCCGAGAGCCCCTGAGAGGGACCGTCCCGCCGAGACAGGGACTCTCATGGCCAGCAGCTTCGCAGCTATGTCAGCACTCACAGCTAGTGGCAATGGGATCGTGAGCAGCCGTTTCTCACTGTGCAGGGTGCGAGCACGCGCTTTGGAACACTACTGAGAGTGACTTCTGTCTTCAAATTGAGTAGCAAATGAAACATAAAAATTTTGAAGTCGATTTATCAATTATTAAAATGTTTTATTTATTAGAAATTCAATATTTTCTATGAATTTAAAACTTCAAAACCAAAGCCAACTTCAAATGCCATGACCAAATTTACATGATTCATATTCATTAACCTGTATTACTTGGTGTATAGATTTATTTTCATAATGGAAATTTAAAATACAAAATGACATTTTATTGCACTATAGAACTGTTTGTGTATGTTAAACTCTTTTCTGATTGATGCTAATTGGAAAAAGTGGTCTCAGCGGCACTTTCCTGGAGAGCTGAAGGAGACTGCGGGGCTCCCCTGTTCCCGCCGCATCCAAACCTGGCTCTGAAGCCGAGCTGAGCACCTGACACACTCACCAGGGACTCCTGATACAAAACTCTTCTTTCCTTGTTTTAGCAAAGAAAAATTGGACCCTAACACTTTTTCCAAAAATTTTATAATTGAACTTCTAGAAATTCTATAATTGAACTGCCTTATTTTATACTATTTCTATAAAATATTCCCTTTGAAAATAAAGACCAAACATGGAGTATTTAATAGATTGACATTTTATAACCAGCCTGTTTTCACTGCAGTGGAAACCTTTGATTCCAGAAATTTGTAAGGGTTCTGTGTCCTCACATTCTGAATAAGGGTAATACCATAAAAATGACACTTGATGACATGTCCAAGTGTTAGCTGTTTCATTTTAAACTTCTATTTTTTTTATTTCCAGATAAAAATGAAATTAAACTATTTGTTTTTAAGAAATCATTTTTCTTTGGAGTTGTATTTGCTTTGATACTCATAATATTTAATCTTTTCCTTTCTATGTATAAAGAATATGACTTTGACATAGTCTTGGTAGTTGAATGACTTTTCAAAGGTTGCATGGAGCCTGAGATGACGTCATTGAAAATCTCTTAGACCCACAATATTTCACCACTTGGTACCATTCCAAGGGCTCCAGCACACAGAGAGCTGACCCAGGGATGCTTGGGATTGGGTACTGGTCAGAGATGTCAGGATGCTGCAGGGGACAAGCAGGGCAAGTCCCTCAGGGGACACAAAGGTTCCTTGTTCCTGTGTGAAAACAGCTGATCATGATGAGAACTGTGCACAGCCCGCTGTCCTCCAGGTGCCCAGAAGGAAAAGGAAGTGATCTTCACCAGCTGTTTCCATGGCCACTCATCCCTCCGAGGTGGCCGCAGCGGGGTGCATGGGGCCTGGGATTCTCCCACCAGTGCCGGTGGCAGTCATACCAGAGACTTCAGGCTGCAGCCTCACACATTCACAGAGTTTTAAGCAGGAAAAAACAAAACAAAACACCACATCATTTCAGAGATGAAAAATGTAGTCACGAATGCAAACACAGCTCTGACGTGGGCTGCGTCCGTGGGGGGTGACTCGTTTGCAACAATCAAAGACACTGGATACCTCAGGAATTGTCCACCTAGGATACTTACTTCACTGCCATTCAATAATTATTTCAGACATATGGACAGTTAACTATGAACAAACCCCCATGTAAAGAACAGCTAACAGACCCTTCTCCAGAATGAAACCCACCAGGCGCGGCGGTGCGATGCTCAGGAGGCTGAGGCTGGACTGTTGCTGGCAGAGGCCGGCCTGATCTACGCAGCAAGACTGTCTCAAAAGCAAACAAATAAATAAACCCAGTAAGGAGAGGCAGGTTACAGAAAGCGACAGTGGGAAAATAACCCACATCACGGGGTTGGTGGGAAGCAGATACACAACAGGTGAGCTAAGTGGGCAAGAGACCTTTCTTTTAGACATTTAACAAGACAATTTGGGAATTGTCAAAGGAATAAAAGTATGGAACTTCAGAACACCAAAAGGAAAGAGAATATTGATTAATACAACAAATATGAATATGGGATGAATTACAAAAGACAATGGCCGAATTAAGTACAAATATAAATACAATATGCACAGAATCAATTCTAAATTATCTATATCTAAAAAAACCTTTGAAATACGGAAATATTCCTAAAATGACCCCAACAGCTTTAAAAAGTGTTTAAGAATCTGTAAAGTTATGGACTTGCTAGGTGTATGCGCACACCTGTTATCCTAGCACTTGAGAGGCTGAGGCAGGAGGATCACTGCTAAGTCAAGACCAGTCTGGGCTAGTTCTGGGCCAGTCTTGGTGAGTTCAAAGTTAGCCTGAAATGCATAGCAAAACCCTGTCTCAGATGAAACAAAACAAAAAAGTTACAGACTATGTGACAAAAGATGTAAACCAACCTTAAAAACATGCCACAGATTAAGATGACCTAGAAAAACTGAAGTATTAGTTTAGAATACTAAAGTGTTTGTACCCAAAAATATATTTTTAAATACCTACAATAAGGGCAACAAAAGATATTTCATACCCTTTAGATTAATACAAGTTTTTAAATGTGGTTGTACCAAGTGTTGATGAGAATATGAGAAAATACTCAGACATCAGCAGTAGGAACATGATTGGTGCAACCACTTTGGAGGGCAAGTTGGAAAAAATCTCCTTCAGCAACTGTAATTTTAGCTCTGGGGAGCCTTGCAGATGTACACAACACGTTGGAGAACATGGACCGGAGTTCCGTGGGGAAACCGGAGGGCGGTCTGTGGCGTGCGGAGGCGGAGACCGGATGAGGAAATTCCGGTTTGACGCTCAGATGCCCGCGCAGAGGTGTCCGGTTTCTAGAGAGGCTCCCGTTGAGCCCTCCCCACTGAGGCGCGCAGTTTTGAGCTGGACCATGGACTTTGTGGCCAACAAAACATGGCAAAACTGATGGGGCGCTGCTTCTAAGAGTTGGCTACGGAGGCAGGTGTGTTTGTTTCCAAAGGCTGCCGTGCCTGATTTGACTGGGTGACTTCACAGGATGTAAGTGTGTTATCATATTGCTGGGGCCCCAAACCGGAAGACAAGGTGCCAACAGGCTGTGAACGGAGGAGAAGCCATCGGGGCCGCCTCCGCCACCCCTGGTGATGTCCCTTGATGGGAGGTACATCATTCTTCACACCACCTTCCTCCCTGAATGCAGTGTCCCCTCATCTTGGAAGGATGCCAGTCACAGCCCTCAACTAATTTTATCTGCAGAGAGCACTTGCAAATGAAGTCACACTTTTAGAGTTTGGGGAAACACTACAGATGGTCAGTATAGTGGGTTCGTCAACCCACTACAGATGGTAACGCCCTGTTTTCTTGCTGCCTTGGTCAGGTGCAGCAGGGCTGTCACATTGGGAACCGCCTTGGGGAGGCTCACATTGCAAAAAACAGAGTAAACATGGGAAGAAATAGCCCCGAGGAGGTTTAGGAGGCAGTTTATTACACTAGTGGGCTTGACTGGGATCTCTCCAAAGAGTCAGCCCTGCCCAGCGGGATTTCAGGGCTTTTATTGGGAAAGCAAGGGGGAGGTACAGAAGTAGATTCAGTGCATTGTGACTGGAAGGTTGGGTGACATCTTGGGTTGCTAAGGGGGTTGCTAAGGGGCTAAAGGAGTTTAAACATTTTACATTACATTGTACAGCCATCAGCTATACAAAACATGGGTCATACACAGGAAGAAATGTCCTATCACGATTTAAGTTACATTTTAAGGCCATCTGTTAGACAAGCTTACACAAAAGAAGGAATGTTTTATTACCAGATTGGTCAGGACATACCCATTTGATCTTGGCAGGTTTAATTCCCTTTCAGTGTGACAAGAACTATAGGTGGCCTGCAATTTATAGCCAGCAAGGAGGGGAAGCAGGTCCACCCAGTCACATCCCCAGGGAACCACTACAGTAAAATGCCGTGATCTCAGCCCTGTGAGAGAATCTGAGCCCAGAGGCCTGAGTAAATCACACCTGGATTCCTGACCCACCTAAACTAGAAGGCAGTTAATGCTCACAATTACATACAGGACACGTAATTTATAGTAGCACTTATCATGGTCGCCCAAGGAGTCATACAAAGTGCAGGAAACCTGTCCACACACTGAAGACCTACAAAATCTAACCAAGGGTCTAGATCCCATGGCAATAATCTGCATGAGTCCAGCTGAAGACCTAGAGCCCATGACAATGTCCCAAGTTCAGCTGGAGGCCCAGAGCCCACGACAATGACTCTCACAAGTCTGTTTCATGAATCTGCACTGGAAAGGCCCAGAGGTCAGTGGTGGAGGCAAGAATCCTTGCCAGTGGGGCGAAGGAGCTGTGCCAGTAAGTTGAGGGATCTGCACTGGAGCCAAAAAGCAGTACTCAAAATAAGGACCAGGGCTGGCTCCCCTGAAAAGTACCACAGCCATCCTATCGACAGCGAGGTCCTGAGCTCCACCTACAATGAGAACAGCTGAGTCCTCATCAGGGAAGTCAGCATGACAAGCTCCTCCAGGAATCAGTGGCTCCAAACAGCAGCAACACTTAGGACTACCCACAAGGCTATTCGTCCTCCTGGTCTCCTTTTTATTCTGGCAGCAGTCCTCAGGTGGGCCATCCACACTCAGCACCACGCTGATTCAGTTCAGCTGGTGTTTAACTTGACCATCAGTTTTCAATTCATGGCACTCGGGCCAGTAAATTTTTAGATAATTTCTTACACAGCAGCAAATAACTACAGGGACTATATAGCCATTTAAAAGAATGAAGTAGAATTACACATGTCAACAGGAGAAAAGCTTATAAATAATATAAAATGAAAAGGCAAAGATGTCAGGATAGAAAATCGATATAAAAATAAATAGCTTTCTATACTCCAATAATGAGCCATGTGAGAAAGTAGAAAAACAATTTCATCATAATAACACATGTGCACACACACATCACTAGAAACTGACCTGACTATGAGACGTAAGAGCTCTACCATGAAAATTACAGAACATTGAAGAAAACTAGAAGAAAAGGCCTTCTATGTTCATGGATTGACAGAATTTGTATAATTAAAATGGCCAATTACAAAAGTGATCTACCCATTCAATGCAATCCCCATCAAATTCCAATGACATTCTTCACAGAACTAATTTTTTAAAAAATCCTAAAATTAATATGGAAATGAATCAAAGTTGCTGAAGCAATCCTGAGCAAAAAGAAACTGGAGATATCACAACATTGATATCAAATTATACTATAAAGCCATAGTATCAAAAAAGATACACAATCAACAAAATACAGGCCACAGAAACACAACCATCCAAATCCAGCCATCTGATTCTAGACAAAGGAGCCAAAACATACACTAGAGAAAAGGCAATCTCTTTTCTAAAAACTGCTAGGGAAGCTCTAGAAGAATTAAACTAGATCCCTACCTCAGATAAAAACCAAATCCAATAAAGACTGAGGTGCGACATCTGAAACTTTGAAACTGATAAAAGAAAACATGAAGAAAGACTGGAGCCCATCAGCACCAAGACTTCCTCAATAGGACTCCAGTAGTGTAGGAAATAATGACAAGAATCAACAAATGGGCCAACATCAAATCAAAAGTTTCTGCACAGCAACAGAAACAGTAAAGAGCCTGCTGAATAGCAAAAAGTCATTGGAAGCTACTCTTCTAACAAAGCATTAATACCTAGAATGTAAAGGAATTTTGAAAACACACACACATCAGCCCAATTGAACACATTCTCAAAGTAAGTGCAAATGACCAATAAGCATGTGAAAAATGTTAAGCGTCTTTAACCATTAGGGAAATGCAAATCAAAACTACACTGCAGATGGCCTCAGTGCACCAATAAAAAGAAAAACAGGCAGAGTGGAGGAATAAACAAGATCCATTAGTATGGGGG